CTCCTTATCCTTTCATGAATTACATGGAAATTAATGTAAATAGGTTCTGGCTTAATTGTATTACTTGGCAGCCTGCAAAGAGTCTGCCTTTTTTACTGCTGTTCAATCCCTTATTCATGTAAATAATCCTCATTAGTGCTTTTTACAATGAGTAGGGGTTACAGAACTGAGACTGGAAGATATAAGTCCTTTGTGACTGACGGATGGTCTCTTGCAGCACCACAGACGGAAAAATGCACAATCCCTGTGCTCTCCGAAGAGAGCAGAAAAATACTGCTGCTGCTGAGATAATCTTCAGGAGGAAGATTACCAATATTTAATTAAAAACACATAGAGCAGATGCTCTGACTCTCTGCCAGGAAAACCCGCCATTACTTACATAAATTAAACTATCTCAGCATGGGAACTGGAGGGAGCAGCACATTTGTGCAGGAACAGCACCTGCAATTTGAGGGTACCTGTAATTTTGTCACCACTTTCCAGCACCATGCTGAGGCTGCAGCCCTGGTTTGAGAATGTCAAAGAGACTCTCTACTGAGTCCCCGTTTAATGCTGCTTCCTAAGGGCACATTTTTTCTCAAATTTGTGCAGAGTTTAAACTGAAGCACATTTACAACATTAGTGATTGTGCAGAAAAACTCTTGAGGTCCTATTCATCTCCAGCTGTAAAACACTGTGGTAAATATTAGCAGTTATTTATGAGCACCAGAACCTGCATCTCCTCATTTCTCACTCTCCTGTCAGCCTAGCTGAGCACCCTGAGAGCAGCACCCAGCCAGGGCTGAGGTTAGGATGCTTCATGGCAGGGCCTGGGAAGAGCACAGGCTTCAAATGAATTCTGAAGGCCTAGGAGAAGCCAGATGTCTGGTTCCCACTGTGTGAAAATGTGTTGATAATGGTTAAAAAATCACCACCTGCCATGGTAGGCTACTGATAATGGTGGAATACTGTAAGTGGTGCGATACATGAGCACAACTGAACACGTCATGAGAGTAGCTCATTTTAAACTCAGGCAAATCATGGAATCATTAAGGTTGCAAAAAACTTCCAAAGTCAAGACCAACTTTTTACTGAATCCCACCATACCCACTAGATGGTACCACAAAGTGCCACGTCTACTTGTTTTCTGAACACTTCCAGGGATGGTGCCTCCACCACTTCCCTAGGCAGCCTGTTCCAATGCTTAACCCACTTCTTTAAGTGAAGAAATTTTTCCTAATATCCAACCTGAAAATGCCCTAATGCAGTGTGCAGCCATTTCCTTTTGTCTTGTTACCTGGGAGGAGAGACTGGTCCCCATGTTGCCACAACCTCCATTCAGGGAGTTGCAGAGCCTCCTTTTCTCCAGGCTGATCATCCCCAGCTCCCTTGGCTGCTCCTCACAGGATTTCCCCTCTAGACCCTTCATCAGCTCTGTTGCCCTTCTCTAAACACAAAATACTCGACATCATTTTGGACTTAAAGGAACTCCATGGCTGCCTTCTGCCATAAATCCTCATGGAGAATGTTCTGCTCTATCAGGAACATAGGTTATGTCTTCTCAAGCCATTTTTCATTCTTTTAAATAAGCCAGCTCTGCTACCCTGGTGCAAAGATGTACTTATTCCCAGGTTTAAGCCTTCTATTCTCTGTAACATTTTCCTAAAGGAACAATCAGTGATGATGAAACTAAAGATATGTTGAAATCTTTGGTATTGGCCCGGACATGCTGTATCTTCTAGTTTTAGTTTTCTATTTATACATTATGTGTTGTATCCTTTACACTTAAAGAGTTTGATTAACTTTTTTTGTTGCTTGAAAATCTTAAAAATTAAATTTGAAATGGCAATCTAGGGACTCAGTGACTTGCAAGTCTAGTATGTTATTCTTCCATTATATTCAGCACTGCCTGTTTTTTCTTCTAAGAGCGCTATAGCTTGTTAAGTTCCAGTGTGCTCATTTTAAATAAGGCTCCCTTTAGAAATCATTGTTCTAGGGAACTGTGGTTTTCAAAGGGAAAAAGGAAAGGACACTCCATATGATATTAACTTTCAGAGCAATTTTATTCTGCATTCATTTAAATCTGCAGGTTTAAAATTTGCCTTTAAATCAATCAATTTGTGCCCTCATACTCCTATGACAATCTGGTTTTACAAGCTAAATCAGGTTGGTCATAAACCTCACTCCAGTCATATGGGAGGTGCATGTAAACACACATACCTAAAACTTCCTGGAGCACCAATGCATGACTTTCTACAGGAAGAAGGGTAATGGTGGACATAATTTCTCCATATTGTTTTAATTGCATTACATTTAGTCTTGTTATTTTTAGGTCTGTCCACAAAGTAATTATACAAATTTCTCCTGCAGGCCTCCCAGAACATGAGAATTCGTCTTTCTACTCACCAGTGACCGAATCTGGCTCTGGTTGCCAAAGCCAGCTCTCTCATTGAGGTGAACAGGGCAAGCACTTGCTCACACCGTGCCCGAGCTCAGCAGCAGGTAAGCGAGGCACCGACGTGGCAGGACAACAATCTGTGTACGGGCAGCCCCGACCATCGGCCGCCAGCGAGATAAAGGCGGCGGGCCCTCCCGTGCTGGGTGGGAATGGTTCAGCTGAGGACACTGTGCCATGCCAAGTGAGCAGCTGCCTGGGAAGGCCACCGGCCTCGCAGCGAGCTGGCAGCTCTTGGGCAGCACATGTGCTCTGGTGGGCCGGAGGCGACTGCAGCAGGCAGGGAAGGCAGTGGGTGCCTGATACGGGGCAGGACGGACCCTCTTCCTGGCCGGGAGCTGTGTGCACACCTGCTATCGCGGCTGCGAAGGCACCAGCCAAGGGCTGCCCTCGACCCTGCGTGACCGCGGCACGCCATCGCTGGGGTTGCGGATCCGCGCAGCCGGGCAGAGCCCTCCCGAGGACCAGCTGGAGCTGATCCACCACAGCCGCGACTGCTGTGGGGCACAGACCGTACGGCAGCGCCTTGCCGAGCTGCCTGTCTAGGCCTGCCGCGGACAAAAGTGCCCGAGGCGCAGCCCGACGGCCGGAGCCCCTGGAGAAGAAGGAGCCGAGGCTCAAGGTCCGGCCGAGCCCGGGAGAGGGAGCCGGAGGCCCGCTGCCAGCCCGGCCGGCTGCCGCTGGTCCAGCCGAGCGCGGGCCCACGTGCGCGGGCGGCGCCGGGCGCGGGGCAGCGGCGCCACCTGGCGGGCGCGGCGGGGGCTGCGTTGGGCCGGGCCCGGCGGCGCCGCCGCGGGTACGGGGAGCGTCAGGCCCGAGCCGGCGGCAGTAGCGGTGTTTACGGGGCGCGGCGGGCGCCGCAGGCGGTGGGGTGCGGCGGACACGGGTGGACAATAGACACAGGTAGACGGAAAGAACGGCGGTGCTGCCCCATCAAAGAGGCCTGGCGGGCGCCTGAGCAGCCAGGCGGTAGCGTGGCCGAGTGGTCTAAGGCGCTGGATTTAGGCTCCAGTCATTTCGATGGCGTGGGTTCGAATCCCACCGCTGCCAAGCTTATTTTGTCCCCGGCGCGGCGGCTCCTTTTTCGCACAGCGGGAAGGCGGGAGCCGCCGGCGGGGGCGGCCCGGGGCCGGCCCGGTACGAGCGGCACTGCCCGGGCCGGGCACCGCGCATTGCGGGCACTGCTGGGGCTGCTGGGGTTTGTCGCCACAGTCGTTAAAATCAATATTAGAAAGTTATGATATATGAACGAGGGAAAAGGGATTATCCACCGTGTGAATCTCTTGATTTAAGAATAAAACGAGAAACACTGTAATTTTCAGGCGTTCTGCCTTTCCCGGCTGCTTTTCGATTACATCAACCCGACCCTCGGGCATGGCACGTGGGTTTTGCGGCTTGCCCTGGACTGAGGGGAGGTGCCAGTGTCCGCACCCTCTCCAGAATTCTCAAATCCATCCATGATTACTCCCTTCCAGACTACGATTTCTCAAGTTTACATCCCTAATCCTTTCCCAAACTCTCTACTGTTCGCATCTTGCTCTTGGTTGTTCCCTCTCCATGTTATAGGTTGGAAAAATGCAGATGGGAAGGCAATTTCTCTGATAAATTCCCACCATGAGTGGTGGTTAGGAAGGAGCTGGAGCCTCCCAGACCGTGCTTTAGGTCCATTTTAGCTGAACAGTAATGTGAAAAGCACATTGTTCACTTTAGTTGCTGGAGAGTGCTCAGTACAACCGCTGTACTTAAGAAATTTAGTGCCAAAAAACATTTGTGCTTTAAGTTCAGCTGAGGAGCAACTGAACTGTGTTAGTTGTTGCCCTTAACTACAGGCAGTGAAAGAAGCTGTACAAAGATATGTGTAACCCATAGTGGCAGATTCCTCTACTGTGACATAAATACACTTAATTTACTTAATAACTTCCAATTCAACTAAAATACCCAGTTTTGACCTGTGAAAAAGCCTACCAGCATGTACCCACAGCTCTTCACCGGGGCAGGGCAGGGAGCAGTTCTGGGACATTGCACAGAGGCACAGCACAGAATTCAGCAATGTTTCAAGTACACTTTTATTTTCCCTCAGATGTGGTGCTAGAGCTAATTCATGAAATCACACAATGTGAAGTCTCTGTAGGCCTGGTGTGTGTTATTTGCAGTAATGTGTTCTGTCTGTGCCTTTGCTTGTTCCTCTGTTCTCCAAGGTAGTGAGCCATGACAGAAGCTGTGGTCAGTCTTTCTCCTTATTTCAGCCATTTTTCTTCACTAGTGAAGCACTGCAGGCTGTCTGCAGCTCTTGTTCTTTCTGCAGGTTCTCATTTACTTCAGCAATCAATTTGGAAAGTTGTTGTTTTGGTTTGAAATAGAGGCAACAGTCTTGACTCTGGTTGTGTTTCAGTGATTTGGCAATTTTTGTTTACTGTATTTTAATTTTTCAGGTCCAGCCACTCATCTGTTATGATTTTGTTTGTAAATTTAAAAGTAGCTGCCTGTTTGTTGCACTGTGCCAATTACTGTTGTGGAGGTTAGAATGATCTGGGTAGCAATATTGTGACCATGCAGTTTATGCAGGTCAGTGTCGTCTTTCTTTTAAAAAATACAAAACTGAAAGGCTAAAAAGTTTTAAAGAAAGAAGCAACAAAATTAAAATAACAATTAAAGTAAGGAAAACATTGAAGAAGAGTTGGTAATTAGAGGGTTGTTGTCTGGATTTTATGTAGTGGTCCACAGAATCAGCAAAGTCATACTTCAGTGGGCGGTACCCCAGCTGAGCTCGTGCCTTGTCTATTCGAAATGTGTGAGTTACAGAAATGTTCTGTACCTACAGGGCAAAAGAGTCAACATACAAAAGTATGACTAAACAGGCAACTGGAACAAACTGCAAATGGTAGCAAAGACACGGTTAAAGGAAATGTAAAATACAAAAATCCCCACAACATTCTATCAATGTCCTATGGGTATTGCACACATTATTTTTAAAATTGTCCACTCAAAAGGAGATTCTTGTAAGCACAAAGAGACATTAAAAGATGCAAAGTAGAATCTTTAAACGTCCACAAAAAATGTTCTGCAGATGTTCTCTTGCTTACGTACTCAAAGAGGCAGATCAAAGCCATCTCGTAGTTGCCTAAAGGCCCAGCCAAGTCATACAGGATACTGACCCTTGGAAGAGAGGAGCTGAAGAAGCCTCTCCCAGATTGCAAGCATAAGCTGTTTTCAAAAATCATGGCAACCAAGCACAGTATATTGCCTAAATGGGACACAGTGCATGTATTTGCCCTGGAAACTGGAGGCTGAAGTAGCACTGCGTGGATTTTACTTTCTTCTGACTTAAAGTCTCCCTCATATTAACATATATGGATCCCATGGGAATTAAGGAAAGTTTACAAACATAGACTTTACCTCATTTCTGGTCAGCAGTGGGGGCAGATCAACAACTGGTCTCAGAATCGCATGAAGATGTTCCATGAATGTGGCTGCATAACAAAAGATTTGGACTTGAGGTACGAACAGTAAATTGCTTTGCCATTGTGACTGTGACATACCTCACACTGTAAATGCTCATGAAGGACAATCGCAGACCTGAGAGCTCAGGGCAGCATTACTAACACCATCAGGACTACTTGCTCACCAGTTGATCTTAATTATTGTGCTTGTGGGAAAAGGGAAAAGATTGGGTACAGATCTAGTGAAAAAGCCATGAGGCTTCATAAAAAATATGGCAACAGAGAACTCAGTTGAATTCTGTTTGATCTGCACAGGGGAGTTGGTTCTGGAGAAAGCAAGACATTTACCTGTGCAGCAAAACAGATACTCCAGCATAATTCATGAAGTCATGGAGTTTTACATTTTGCTTTTCGTATCATTAACTCCACAAAGTTATACATGTTAGGTTCTACATAAACCCTGTTTAGTGGGACTTGAATAAGAGATCATTCTGGTTTCAACATACTGCACAGAGGTGAATTCTACACTGCTGAACACTAGGTGAGCACACAGCATATTATTTTTATACATGAACATGAAAATTGTGAGCAAATAAAATAAAACAATATTATATTACAGTTAGGAATGAGGGTAGCATGAACAGGAAAAAGAAATGTTGATAAATTATTTTACCTGATGCATAGACTAAGCAAGTAGGAATATGTATCCATGGCTTACTGCAACCTAATCTTTCAAACTGAAAAAGATTTAAAAAACAATGAAAAGCTGCAAAAACTTCAAACAAGTTTTGAAGTTTCAGTATAGAAGATATTTATAGAAATATTTATTATTAAAACAGAAAAAAAATACCATGGCTCTTAGTATTTACTATTTTTAATTTTTAAGGAGATGCCAGTTAAATGTCACCCACCAATACTATGTCATTTCTGTATCTTGAAAGAAGGAAAAAAATTATAATAATTAATCTAAATGCCATGGTGTGCTGATACCTAATTTAACATCATGATGTGTTTATAGTTTTGAGCCCATCATTAACAACAACGTGGTATTTTGAAAAGAATGAACAGATGAATATTTAAGACATTTTTTTTTTTTTCCACCCAAAATGCCCATTATTCCCATCTGCATGCCCCAAAAATGAAGACAATAGCAGTTCAGGACAGGGTGCTGGTGTAGATGGTCCTTTGGTGTCAGGGAAGACAGTTACTTTAATGTAGTATTTTGGGCTTTGTCACCGTGCTAATCACACTGAAATTCAAGCAGGAATTAAACCCACATTAAGAGATTTCCATGTGGAACTCTCACACCCAAAGCAAACATACAAAATGTAGCATGCACACAAAAGTTGGAGTTGCATACACTTAAATAAATGAATGTACTTGGAGATCAGTATTGCACGTACAAGTGGAGTTAGCCATTCAAAAAGGTTGGATTTTTCTCCATCATGAATGAAGTACACCTGGCCACTCTGTTAAAGAGGTAGAGAAGAGACAAGTCAGTAAAAATAATACTGCATATATATGAACTTCTTTTTCTTTCTCTCACCCCTTATGAATAGCTTAAAAATAATACATCAATGTCAAATATGAGTGGATGCACACACAAGTCACCAACTCTCTGCTTGTGTTTCACTCAGTTGCACGGTTATGTGCAGCGGAATTGGTGAACAGTGGTTTGTATGATTAGCATGCCTTAGATTAAATGGTTTATTAGAGATGTGCCTGTTCAGACTGGCTGTATGGACTGTGCAGAGACACCACTGGAGCCAGTGCTGGATCTCACTCGTGCTGCTGGCATGTGCCCACCAGAGGGTGGGACACGTTCTACTCTGGGTCTGGTTAAGGCTCACTGGACTCCAGAAGATTCCTGTGTAGCCAAGGTCTACGTTCCTGCTTTCCTTTTGCTTTCAGGGTTTTAGAAAAAGTAGTTTAATCTACTTTGAACCCCTTTCTAATATACTCTCAGGACAATGCTTCTAGGTGATTAAAAGCCTGTATTTACAAGGAAGAAAACAGTTGTAACTGTTTTTGAAAGCAGTGAAGCCAAATGAAATGTGCCTTTGTTGGCACATGATATGGGAAGAACTGACCATCACAGTTCAGAACATTAAATCTGTACAGGGGAACAGTATGAATCTGCCTAAACTTCCAGTTTCATTTCCAGTACAGCAAGCATTCTTTTCTCATCTTCCAGAAATTACAAATATTGCATTTTAAAAATGCAAAGATGGAGATATTCTTACAGAACTGAATATTTCATCTCTTACGCAACACCAGCAGCCAACACTGTGTCCCATCCCACATTGCTCATAGCACGTTTATCAGCTGAAAACACAGTCAACAATGTAAGCTGAAGGACAATAACTCTAATTACTGCAGTGGTTACTATAGCAAAGGATACAGTGGCGGGATCCACTGTCAAGTGAGATCTGTAGTGGTTTTACTGCGTTTACTTACAGCTATGTAGTTCTTTTCAGGGGTGAGAGCTTCAGCAGCTAGAATATGAGCTTGTACAAAATTTTCTACATGTATCCAGTTCATTTTAACACTAGGGTCCGCAAAATTGAAGCTAAGTAGCCTTCTCTCAATAATTTTCTGTAGATATAAACACACATGAAACCATAACAAAATGGGTTTTAGAATGAGGTAAGGTGTACTTTCTTGTCTAGCTAAATGTAGGTTTAGCTCTACTTTAAAAATAAAATAAATAATAATTTATTATTTCCTGAAAGCTGTGTATAACTTTGTATTACACTAATTCTTTTAAAATAACTGGCTCACAGAATTCTGTAGGAATCGTGTTCTAAATGTCATCTGTTGGCCCTGCAGTTTAAAAGCAAGTGAAAAAGAGTAAAATGTGAACACCTCAGCTGCTGCCCTTCAGTAACCTGTTGTACCAGAGGGTGTTTCCAACTCTGGAATCTGCTTCACTGGACAGTGAAAGCTGTTAATAGTTGAGACTGGAAATTAGATATTTTGCTGTATCTCTTTTCATTAATATTTAAAACCATTTGGTGTAAGTTGCATGTAAACAGACATTTGAAATATCATGGATTGGCCTGAATCTTACAGTAATTAAATTATAAAGCTGGATTTTCATGTGTTTGTATTTAAGTAAGAGGCTTTTTAAATCTTTTAAAATATATATTTGCAGATATAATGCTTGTTAAAAAACATTATAACATCCTCAGCAGTTGATTGAATTGTTGAATTGCTACCCAATAAGATCAGTCAATTTATAATACAAGTAAGTGATGCTCCTTTCAGCTTTTTACCCATATCAAAGAAAACTTTGCTGATTAAAAAATTAAAATGACATACTGCTAGCCTTGGCAAGTGTCTCTGCTCTTCTGGTCCATAGATTCCTGGTGGGCGAAGAACACACGTATAGAGTATTCCACCTCCTAGAACATGGGATAAGATCATTCTTAAGAGACCTTCACATCTCTACATTGTATCTTTCCTTGTATGAACCAAGGGCTGCGGCAGCAGAGCTTACTCTAAATTCATTTCACTACCTTAAAAAACAGTCCATACCAAAAGGTGGTGCATTAGTAGCTAGATATTAAGATGGGAGAATCAGAGCATGCAAAATAGCAAGGTAAGATTCAAAGAAGTCCTACAAGCATAGTTGTGTTCTAGAAAATACCAGATATTTAAAAATCTCTTTATAATCAGTCCCTTGTCCCTGTGCCAGAGCAGTAAATGAATGTGTTTGCTTTGGTGATGAGTTCGCTGAAGTGAGCAGGTTGCTCAAAAATATATTGGATAGTGGAATGAAACCAACTAATCCCACACAAAATTATTGATGGGAAGCAGTGACCTGTTAGCAGTACAAGGCAGAGCCCAAAGGCTCCCTCAACAGCAGGTGCAGCTCCCACTGGAGTGAGATAGAAGCTCTTGACAATTTTAATGGGATCATAAAAATCAAATCTTCCCATGTACATCAGTTGGCTGCTTCATCATTGGCTAATAACTGTTCTTAATGGTACTTGTAAACATGTAAAATACTCAGTCCTGCTACGGCACAGGATCAAAATGGGATGTTTGGAATGCTGACTGGTTCTATTTCATTGACAAATGCAGAACTGAGTATTGGTCCTGAAATTAGGAGGGGCTTTGACATGAAGAGCTGCTAAGGAAATAAAGGGGGGAAAGAAACCCTTTTCTTATTTTAAACAAAATAATTTTGTTGGGATGGAGTTCCCATAATCGACTTTTTATCTCTTATAGCCCTCTGCAAGTATCAAGTGAAGAGTCTTTTCTGTAAGTTGTCCACAGCTAAATTTAGCTCAGTATCAATTGGTCACACAGAATCATGTTGCACTTTACATTAATTTGTTTTGCACTGGCAGTTATAGTATCTCACAGGTAAGTTTAAGTATTCAAGTGTATAACTGACTTCCTCAACATGGAAAACTTTGGGAAGCACTAATAAATAATTCCAGGCTTTAGGCTCAGGTAGCTACTTCAGATTTTAATAAATAACTTGAGGGGGTGTGTGGTATGTAATAATTTAATCAGCATTTGTGTTTTACTTATGTTGCATGAGACAGTGACATTAAAGACTAATTTTTGTTTAATTTATAGCTGTCTTATAATTTTTCATTCACATACTGAACTTTCTGCTGTCATGCTAAAACCTTTTACAGACATTGTGGGAACTTAAAGCAAATTAAAAGTAATTTTAAAATGAAAATATTTTAATTTGTTAGAGGGGGTTGGTAACTTAATTTCCTAACTGCTAGGCAGTCTTGTCCTCTAAGAATTGATACAGGACACAGGATTTTGGGGAGGAACAAGAAGAGGAGGAGTAAATTCTACTATGAATTCATGCTCAGACAAAAGTACCTTCTAGTGAAGATCCATTAGCTGCTAGTACCATTTGTTCTGCAATTGATTTGGTTCTGGAATAATGATCAACGAGCTACAGAGGAAAAGCAAATACATTTGTATCTGTTCCTGAAATGACGGGACAGAGAGGCATCTCTATTCATTAGTTTTTACTTAGCAGATGGCAACAAATACCTCAAAATACAGAAGCTGTGGGGTATTAGGTTTGGGGTAAAACACATGAATATTTTAGGGTAAGGAAGCATTTTTGTGTATGCAAATCTGGTTAATTAATTTCAGCACATTTGAGAAGCAATAAATATATGTATGCTTTGAGTGATGCCAGGAATGTAATCGATCACTACTTTGTAATCGGGATTTCTTCTTCGGGTAACGGAAAAGTCAAAAGGCAAATTATGAAGTCGTTGCACTTGGTCTGAAGTATCCTGCTCACTTCCATGTGACATTGTCCCAGAGAAAATATTTTTAATAACATTTTAAATAATATTCGTATTTTATCTCCATCTCTACTTCTTGAAAGACTGAGAAGTACTTGATGGAGAGAGGAGGGACACAAAAAAACAACTGTGTATTCAAAGCAGCCAGAAGCCTTTTTTAATTAAATGCAATAAAACCATATAAAAATAGGCTGCTTTTGTAGATCACCTCTACCTTGAATATATATCATCCTCTAAGGGAAAACCAGAAAAATCATGTAGATAATAAATAGCTAAAGAAGCACCAAGCCATAAAACAGAATCCTCATGTCCAGATGGAATATCCCCTATATTAATGCAGCACTGTGGGAATTATTTTCCAAAATCAAGGCCTTAATAGGAAAAAACAAAATATATACTTTGATGTACATAAAACTGATGTGCCAAGGTTGTGAATAGCATCTTCAAAGAGTGTAAAGAGTTTTGTTTTTTCTTTCATAGAATCACAGAATGGTTTGGATTGAAGGGGACTTCAGCTATCATCTCATTCCAACCCCCTCTTCTTTGGGCAGGGACAACCCCAGCTAGACCAGATTGTTCAAACTCTTATCCCACCTGGCCTTTCTTGTGCCTGGATGCTTGCATCAAGTAAAACACAGTCATAAAAGCTCCAGGCTTTTACAGAAACATGGAAGTAAACAGAGGAATTTGAAAATACAATGCAACAAAATACCTTGTCAATTGGGAAATATGGCAAAGATTCCTCATCCCCGTCTTCAATAGGAAGCCCTCCAAACACCACATTCACAGAGCTGGTGTAGACCAGCCGAGGGATGTTTTGTTGTTTGCATGCTGCAGCAATGTAGAAAGTCAATTACTTTAGTGGAAAAATATATGGGAAAAAAGTTTGTGTGACTTTTTTTAAAGAAACTATCAAATCTTGAAAGAGAAAATCCTTCCATTCTGTGACTGGGTGAGTTGAAATGCAGAGCATTTTGAAAGGGGAGACATCAGTGAAGAAGCAAGTGCTTTACTCTCTGGCACATCCTAAGCTGGGTGCCAGTGCTGTGTCTCAGGAGAGCTCCTCCAGCCTGCTGGGCAATCAGGACAGAAGTCCTGCTTCAAGGGCTGCCCACTGCCCATGCACAAGGTGTTAGCAAGCAGCTTAACTGCTACAACATACACAGGGAATTGGTTAACTCCTTACATGGATACAGATTCCAACATCAGACAAACAAGGTGTTGAAAAGCTGAAGTAGTTGAAGTACAGCACTGGCTCTCAAATCATACCTTGTGGCAGAATTGAGCATAACCCCCCCCTCCTCCATGACGAGTTTCCTCATTTTCTGCCAACAATGTCAAGTACTTGGTAATAGAGTGTGCCAAAAAGGCAAACTGGCTTTCTCTAAATGGGATATGATGTTTGATATGCTGTACTAACACCCAATAGCACAGTTAAATACCTACCATTAAGGATGAATCTTGTTCCATTAATGTTTACAGTTTCAATCTCTTTTTTATGCAACTAGGAAAAGAAAATAATGTGAATTTTTTAGTAATAATACATATTCAGTTCAATAGGGGAATATTATAAATATTAATATATAATATATAATATCCCCAAATAAACATAATTTAGCGCTTTGATTATTAAAAATGCCTTTTAGACTGCTGTTTCAGACTTAAAGAAGTCTAATCATTATTTTTAAACTATACCTGTATTTTTCTTGTATTTTTTCAGACTAGTCTGCTTGAAGCAAAGAAAATTGTGGTGCTTCTAAAAATATATGTCCGGTTATTATATATCTTGTGGCAGTATGTTAAATATCTGTGTTTCAGTAGCACTTTAGTGACCAGTTGCCTCTAACCAGAACAATTCCAATTATGCATTGCTCAGTGGCAAACAACTTTGAGTGAGCTGTTCTATCCAGACAGGGTAATTACTAAAGTTCCTCTTATTAAATAAAATAAAAAAGGGGTGTGGATGTATGTGTGTGTGTGTGTGTGTGTGTGTGTGTGCTTGTAATTTTAAAACCGTGACTCAGAGTCCTACATCAAGTGCATCCGTACAGCTTTTTATTCAGTGGCAAACAAAGACTTGAAATATTGTTATTGTTGTAATTCAGATATATGAAATAATTTATAATTTAGTTAAGGTTTTAATCCTTCTAGTGACCTTACACCATGTGAGCCATGTGAAGGTTTAGGGAAGAATTAGGATTTTGGAGGGAACCAGCCTCCCATGTCCTTCCTTTTGTCTTCACAGTATTTCCAAACTTTTCAATGCCATTTCCATCTCAAACACCTTCCTTGGTGTTTGAGGTACTGGTAGAACCTCTAAAAGTGAGGTTCTCTCTAAAGAGAGAGCTCTGCAAGCAGCCTGCTTGCAGCTGGCACTCCAGTTTGCACAGAGTAGTTTACCAAAAGACCAGGGCTATACGAAAAGATGAAAACTGTCTTGCAGTGTTGCAGCATTGAAGTCTCTCACCCTCAGTGTGGGCAGTGATGCAGCAAAAACCAAAACTATGTGGACTCACCTGCTCTGTTCCTGACATTCCATATGAAGCTACGTGAAACACACAGTCAGCCCCTTCACAGGCTGCCAGTATGGCACTGTAATCCCTGATATCTGTCTGTAATACACAAGGAAAGATATTTGGACATGAAATCAAAGCTGCAGGTGAACATTTATCATACAGTGGTTTCATACAGAAGAAATCCATATATATAATCCATGTATAGAACTGTATTTGCTGTATAAGTATGCTGGGACTCAAAACTGGGCAAACCTCACTACTTGCTGATAATTATACTTTTCTTCCATAAAACCCAAAGGACTTTAAAGATATTCATTAAGGTTCACAATAGTCCTGTGTTTATTCTACAGGTGGTTAAACTGAGGCCTAGATTGAAGGCAGGATCCTGAGGAGTCTGGAGTGGAAGTGCTCTGTGCATTACAGCTTTTGCTGGTTTCCTCATTTCAGATATACTAAAATCCACTCACCAAAACTCATGTGGGATGTTCACACAGTTAAAAAGGTTACTGAAATCTGAAATAACTGGCAATTAGGTATTTGGATTCTGTGAAAACTAGTAAGATATTATGGAAAGTAAAATGGACTAACTGTTGGGAAAATATTATTTATCATACCTGGCTCCACACTACTCCAGTGGGAATCACCCACAAAGGCTTGTGTATGTCACACAGAACAACAGAAGCTCCTATGTTGGCGAGAGCACATCCCAGCTTGTATCCACAATAGCCACCACCTCCTGTCACCACGGCTCTCATACTGACTTTATTGAGTGCTCCAGCATTTTTATCCTCTTTGAAGTCAGAGATTCGGCGATAGGGTGTTTCCACTCCACTCATTTTTGGTTTTGCGTCAATGAAACACTGCTCAGCACTACCAGATACATGTAACAATTCCTTCTACATGGTGAAAATTGCTCCACAGCACTCCTGGATGCAGACAATTACAGGGAATTTCATGTTGACAAGATCTATTCACAGCAGAAAAATCTGACTTTAATGCAGCCTGTTTAAGAGAGATAAAGACAAAAGCAAACCAAAATTTACAGTCCCCAGTTTACTGCCAAGACAGACATCTGAGAGAAGTGGTATTTCCAGCTTCTTTCTAAGTATCAGCAGCTAAACATAAATTAAGAATACACTATGTTGTTATCACTGGCAGTGCTGGAGTTGAGATAGATGAGGATTTCAGGAGGGAAGAGGGATGCCTGATCCTTACGTTACAACTTTAGAAGGTGTATCAGAGAACAAGGCTATCAAATCCCTCGCTTTCGAGGGGAACTCAAATAAAATAGCTGCTATATTATAGAAAAGGTTAATAACTGCATTAAGAAAAAAGTAATAGCGAATCACTTATTTCCTGAACATGGAGGTTCTTGCCCTTCCAGGGGTTCCTCACCGGCAGTGAGGAGGCGCATTTCAGAGGCTGTGGCTATCGACTCCCTCCGACACCCCGTCCCTGTCCCGGCCGTAATTAAACATTCAAAGCTACCCGAGCCCCGCCGGAGCTCTCTGCATCTCACTTGCAAATCGGCCTGGCGGCAGCGCAGGGACTCGTGCTCGGGCCGGGTCCCGGCCGTGCCCCGGCCTCGGGCGGCTCCCGCGGGCGGCGCCGTTGGGGTCGTTGGGTCCGCGGGGCGGCCGCGGGCGGCGGCTGCGGGAGCCGCTCCGGGCAGGAGCGCCCGGCCCGGCCCGGCCAACAGCGTCTGCAGCAGCCCCGCCGGGGCCCCGCAGCATCTCTGACATCCCACCGCACCCCCGGGCTCCCACAGCACCCCTAGGTCCCACTCATCTGGCAGCAGATTTGGAATTGCACAGCTGAGATATTGCTCATCCCGTAGCATCCCTGGGATTCTGCTTATCACACAGCATCCTTGTAGCCCACACCATCCTACGGTGTGGGCTACAAGGGATCCCACGGCATGTCCTGGTATTCCTGGGTTGCCAGAGCATCCCTGGGATCCCAGAGCATCCTATGGTTCTTACCTCCAAGTGTCTTCACACAGCTGTGACTGCTGCACAAAAGCATCCTGTCAGTAGTGAGGGCTCCGGCCACACGGAGGTACCTGTTGAACAGGTTGTTCAGGAAAAAAACACCACCTCCTGCCTACTGGTTGGACAGTCGGTGGTGGGACTGCACCGACTCATGGCTCATAGGCATGCAGAACTTCTAAGACACCTGCAAAACAGCAGGAGTTCCCAAAGAGGCGCAAATAAACAAATGGGCACTAAGGTCCCTTTCCACATGAGCCTCCCTGTGATCATTTGAGCCTGGGAGGATGTGAAAAGGGCCAGGAGCTGCAGAACTTCAGTTACCCATTCCAGGCAAAAGTTAAAGCTTTGAACACATTTACCTCTTTTGTTACAGCTGTGCTATGTCTGAACATTCATATTAAATTTTAATCACTTTAAGACCCACTGCAGTTATGTTAGAGTAGGAGTAACTCAAACAAGAGCCAGCTTAAACCGAGACTCAGACAGAAATAAGAGAGCTGGCTATTCCCAGCTGGTACTGAGGATTGTTTTAAAATCCCAAATACTACATCTGTAAGAAAGATAAATCAATGTACTGAAGCCAGTTATTGTTAATCAGTGCTGCTATAACAGTGATGTAAAAAAACATCCTACACAAAATAACAAACCACAGGTTTGGTGTTACAGGACTGAAATGATGGGACTCCACAGGGACTTACAACCACAATGCCAGTGAATTCCTTGGTTAGTCCTTACTGAGGAGCATCCATATGAGGCCAGAGCTTGCACTCTTGTGAAAAGTGTTGGTGCAATCCAGGATGCATCCTGAGCTATTAGTCCAATAAAAGTGATATGAAAGATTTATTAATAACTAATTTAGAACCAAATTGAATGTTTGCATGCAGCTAAAATGCTTTCGCTTGGAAGTAACTTTACACTTGTGGTTTTCTATTCTGCATTTCTTAGGAGTAAAGGCTTCCACAATACTGCCTGCCTGCAGCACTTGCTGGCTCAGCTGCAGCTCTGTAGTGATAAATTGTGAATTAACTGGTTTTAATCAAACCTGGATAAAGATCTCATACATACAGAGCTTCTTTAAGCTTCCTGTCAATTGCCAGGAATAAGAGAGAGGGCTGAGCAATGCTCCTGCTAAAGGAAAGTGTATATGGGAGCTCACTTTGTATGGACAAGGACATTCTCCAAATGCAAATCCATAATCAAGCAGACTCTACCGCTTTCACTGCACACAGAACTGTTAGTGAAGAGAAAAAAAAATAGAGTAAAATAAAGTTTTGCTTAAACAAGCTGCAGTGGTAATTGTGGTTGTTCATATATTTTCCTGTCACTGTGTATTGTCTTTTACCTGTAAGCTTTATTCTTCTAGGCTTGCTCTTGGTTCCTCTGCATATCCTATAGAGTGAGAGAATCTCCATAAACTTACTGGTCTTAAAAATCCTGTAAAATGCTAACAAAAGGCAAGAGGAATACAGAATGGAGATAATCAGATGGCAGAACTTTTCTAGCATTGTCTTCCATGACCCACCATGGCAAATTCAACTCTCCTGGTTCACGTGGGGTGCAAGAGAGGGAGAAACTGCTCCCTGGTCAGAGAAAAGCTGGATCCTAAGAAAAAACTCATAACATCTTCAAGGTTTGTCTGGGCTTATACCTGGTGTGTACACATTGCACAGGTGGCTCACATAGTGCAATCCACCCAAGAAGCAACTGATGTAAGACTTAAGAAAGGAGAAAAGAGAGAGGTTGGATTCTCACTCCTGTCTTGGTGCTTGACTTCTCTGCTCACCCCAAAATGCAATTCCCTGAACACACAGTGTGTGCCAGCACTGCTACAGGATTGTGGACAATGTGACTCTAGGGAGCAGTAACAGCTGGCTGAATTCCACCTTCCCACAAGCTCCTTAAAAACAGTATTTGATTCAGTTATTATTTATTATTGCATTGAAAGGATATTATTTGATTTACAAACACACATAATTATATTTATTACATTTTTACAAAGTTTTAGAACAATAAAACTATTTTACATAAATATGATTTTCATTCCTCTAAATCACCTATTATTTATAAATATTTACTTTTCATATTTTTTGCACTGTTTCCCAGGTCTCTGTAATTCTTCAGGCTAACTGACAGTAGCTGTAGCCATGGCTTCATCAGAAGAGTTGTTTAGTCACCATTTCCTTCACTGGAGCTGCTGAACTTGTTACAGCATTGCTGTCCTGTGACAGTTCCTCTTCTTCCACCTTCTTACCCTCCAAAATTATCATTTTTAGAAAATGCTTCCCAGCATGAAAAAAATCACTTAACGGAGATCCATTAAAACTATTCCTACACCCATTTGTGGGGAATTCCTTTACTGTAACACTGTGTTGCTCTTGGGGAACATTTCCTGATACATCCTATGTTTTCACTTTTCTAGTTGTTTTTCTTTGAGTTTTTTTTTCTTTCTTAATGAGGTCAGAGAGGTGTCATCATAGTAATATGAGTAACAAAGCCCAGAGTGGCTGAGGAATGTACTATGACCAGATAATTAATACTCAGAAACAAAATGAGGTTTTCTGGAACAGGTGAGTGGCTATTTGATTTTAGAAGAAAGAAAGAATGATCAAACTTAACAAAATGCCAAAAACAAACACCATTTTAAGGAATGTGTGATCTTCTTGGCAGGTAGGTCTTGTTTTTAGATAATGATCCACAGAATCAGCAAATGAGAATTTCTTTGGTTTGTAACCAAGTTGGTTTCGTGCCTTGTCTATTCGGAAAGTGTGAGTTACAGTGACATTCCACACCTAAAAGCCAAAAGGACAGTTATAGCAGTGACTTTAACATCCAATTTTCTAGAATTCGGATGAAAATATATCAACATTGATGCTACAGTGGAAACAGAACAGGAAACAGAGCTGCAATGCAGACAATCCAAAGGGTGTATCACATCCTTAATGAGCATTTGAGTCAGAAATATATAAACATTATATTTTTTTATATATTTACCTCATTCCTTGTCAAGAAAGGTGTGAAGCTAAAAACTGGCTTTAGTATCAGGTGCAGATATTCCATCACAGTGGCTGTGAAACAGAAATTACTTAATGAGACATCTGGATAACAATAAACTGAGACAATGCTGACATTGTACATCCTGTAATTTCTACTGGTAGAAGACACTGTTTAATTTATAAAGTACATGATGAGTTTATGAATAGCCTTTAAACTTTATCTGGTATAATTAATACCACATGGCACAAGTGATTATACTCAATTAAAATAACGTTAAGTTAAATAATTCCTCCAATTTGGGGCCCTGCATTTTATAAAGCCACTATGTAGCTTTGTAGGAATAAAGAAATCAAACAACCCACAATAATTAAGAATGTACTATTTTTTTACCTGCTATATGAGCCAGGAGAACAGGAATATGTATCCAAGGTTTCCTGTAACCTAATTTTTCAAACTAAAAAGGGTATAAAAAGAAAGAATAATAGAGAAATTGAGGGTGTCAATGAGGCATGAAAATGGAAAAAAATTAAAGAACATTGATAAAACTTGTATCTAAACTATTTTTTCCAGCTAGTGTTCCTGTGTAAAAAGGTAGTAATCAATTGAAGCCCACTACTTATTCTTTGGTGCCCATCTCCCACCCTTCATCTGCAATTGGACAATAAAGGGGAATAAAAGGCCATTTCTAAGGGGGAAATGACTCAGACTGGAATACTGAACTACACTTAAATACAGTCCCAGTTTTCTGCTGGAGTCATTTTCTGTGAAGGCATTGCAGGATCAAAGCTTTGGCATGCTCCTAGAATCCCAGCCTGATATTTCTGAAAATATACTGTTGTCTCTTTTTAGCTTCTAAGGCAAGATTCTGCATGGGCTTCCCCTCTGTGCTGCAGCTGATGCCAGGACAAAGCAACAGCTGTAAGAGTCCTGCCAGATGCCAGTGGCAGAGCTTGCCATTCACTGTGGGTTTGCTTCATGAAATGCTCTGTCCTGCAGCAGGTTCTGGACCTCCCAACTAAATCCTCTCAAAGCAATAACACCAAACTGCACAGTTACACGTGTCCAAAACTTCCCTGACCACCAGTGGAATTTTGGAAAGCAGGAAAAACAGGGCTGAGTTTAATGTTAAATAATTCAGTAATTTATGTGCACTGAACTTCATTTTGTTGGTCTGGTGTGTCAGTCAATGACAGGACTTGTGCCCACGCAGTGCTGGGAGCTGCAGGGCTGTGCAGTACATACCAAAGGCACAATCCACTCAGAGAAGATGACATTCTCACCATCATGGATGTAATAAGCCTGACCACTCTGGTAAAGAAGCAGAGAAAAACAGTGACAAAACTGTGCACAGGATGGCATTTTCTGTCTCATACCTACCTGCCTGTCATGATTTTGTGAACAACACACCAGCATGCACAAGGTGAATGTACACAGAGGAAATTGCCTTCACTGGCCTTCACTGTGGTAACCCCACAGTGGTGGTAGAGCTCATGATGATTAACAATTTTGTAGTGTAGATCAGAGCTCAGTTTTCCCATGTAGTAGCCCAGCTGTTGGATCATTATGTGAAGAATCATGATGTGCTGGGCATAGAATAACCTTTGTGAGTTCAATGGAAGGGGCAGCACTGATGGCATTTAACAAACAGCTCTGAGGTCGAGTTCCAGCTGTGCTCTGGGTGAGGAGTCGGCCCAGCTCTGAGTACCAGGAACACCTGAGCACCCAAGCAAACCTGGGACTCTGGAAATTACATAAATCTAGAACAGTTTTGTGTCTTCCAAGCACTGAACTAATGGAGAACACATGGTGAGGTGTTCACTTGTTGTCTGTATGCTCCTACCAATCTAAATGAATCTGGGACCTTCAGGAACTGTGAATGCAGCAACTGCTGTGACATTATCAGTTCTGTAATGCTTCACAGTCCTCAGACTGCTATTGCAATTATGATTGGTAGAACAGAAAGAAAAACCTTTAAAAACTGTCCATTAATTTTGTACATCTCTTTTTTGGAATTTTCAGCTCTGGAATGCCTCAGAATGGTTGCTTTAAATGTTATGCATCAATGGTCAGAACCTATTTTCAAGAGAATAACAGGATATATAGATATTTGTGTAATAGTGAATATATTAAGGTAGTTAAAAATACAGTTTCCTCCAGTAACCCAGGAAATTTGTTATTTTCAAACCAAATAAAAAAAACCCATCAAAATATGAGTGAAATGTATTTGCATTTGCACTGCCTGTATACTTGTGGAGCTACACACCATCTTTGAGAATTTAGCATATGGATTTTTGGACACTCTTGGATCTCAAAACATCAAAAATTAAACCTGTTTGAGAATTCAAGCTACTGGGACACAAAGATTATATTGTTTACTTACAGCTACATAGCCCTTCTCAGAGGTGAGAGCCTCAGCAGCCAGTAAATGAGCTTGCACTAGATTTCCTATGTGAACCCAGTTCATCTGAACTTTGTGATTCCCAAACTTGAAGTTAAAAAGTCTCCGCTGGATATTTATCTGTAGAAACAGAAAACATGAGATAACTATATTATTCCTTTATTTTGCACTATAATATTGATTTTGTCTCAACCCAATTACTTGGATGTTTCTGTATTTGTGTACAATTACAGCACAAGAAATGTGTCACAAGAAGAAACCCAACTAGTGGGTGGTTTTGGAAATCAAAGATGGTTGCACTGATAGGCAGTGACATCATGTTTTCTGACAGAAACTAAAGTTCATATTTAAAATACAATGTTTCCATTAAATGATAGGGATCAAACCTAGTTCTTTTACCATTGCATTTCAGCCTTCCACTTTTCACTGAGAAGCCCAGCTTGATCCTGGCCCGCAGTGCTGGTTTCCTGCTATTTGTTACCCTGCACCACATCACCTGGCCCCAAGCTTTCACCACATTCCTGCAGGAATGGTTAAGAACTGCAATCAAGGTACTACCACTTGTGTTATGCCCTTACAACTACTTGTGGTGTCCTCCAGAGCTGACTACAAAACACATACGGCTACTCGAGGCAGGTGCCGCTGCTCTTCTGGTCCGTAGATGCCCGGCGGGCGAAGCACACACGTGTGGAGCTTGTCCCCTCCTTGGAGAGAGAGCAACAGGTGACTGTCAGACGGCTGACACATATTGTCTGAATTTTACACTGTCAAAATTAAGGCTCATTTTGACCATTCTGTGTGGCTCAGCTTCATGGGAACTTGATTTCATTTCTGTGTGAAACTGAATTCAACAGCAGAGACAGACCTGAGCTTAGCAGCCTGAAAAACCTTCTTGGGGTTACAAGAACCCACTGGACAGTGCTTACAAATTGGTATTATCAGAACAGCTAATTATCCACTGAAAAAAGGAATAGAAACAAATAAATCCTTATTTCAGTTAAAGTGTACTATTGATAAATGAGGGAACCAGAGAAAGGAATCTGCATTAGCACTCCTAATGATAGAAAAGCCCCAAATGCTTTATATGTACCTTTGAGTAAAGTTCCATTAGCAGCAAGAACCATTTGGTCTGCAATTGCCTTGGTTCTGGAATAATGATTAAATTGCTATAAGGAAGCAGAATAAGATAATTATTGAATCTGTAAAGGCAAACTTACTGTTTATGACTGACAACATTTGAATCTAGCCAGCTCACAGGTATCAGCTGAGCAAAACAAAACTAGAAACAGTAAGATTTAGTAAATATATAGTTTGTTTATGACAAAAACCAGACTTACACTTTAGTAGCACAAGTTTAGCTTCAGAGCGAATTTAAGTCCATTCGTTTTTACTTCACTTTTTGTGCTGAATGTACTGAGAACATCTACAGTAAAACAACTTCTGCTCTCAGAACAGCCTTCACACAGTCTTTCCTTTGGAGCACAGTAAATGCCACACCATCCCATGGACAAAATACCTTTTCCAGTGGAAAATACGGTACAGTTTCTTCATCTCCTTCTTCAATAGGATTCCCTCCAAACACCACATTCACTGTACTGGTATATATCAGTCTAGGGATATTTCTTTGTTTGCAGACTACAGTGATACACAAAATATATTATTTCAAAACAAAAATAAAGAGGGAGAAATAATTGAACTGGCAGATTTTCTTTTTGAAAACAAACATTACAATTATAGAAAAGAAGGTAATATTTTAATTTTAACGTTACCTTATCATTTAATATAATAATATCTTCCATTCAGCTGTTATTTTTCACCCCAAATATGTGAATATTACACATTGTGGCCACCAAATGTTTCATGATGAAGTACCTGTAACTATCATATCACTGGATTGCAATCATCAACTGGGTAGTGGAATTATCTTGGGGGGGGAAAAAGTCCTTCTTGAGAAACCTTTCTTAAAACATGTTCACTTTACAAATTGACTACAAAGGAGGTGAATAAGAACATTTGTTGTGGTACAGCCCTTGGGACAGTGCTGTCGGGAGCAGCCACTGCAAGGCCACTGGGTTACCCTCGGTTCCATGAGCTGCCTCTTGCACCCCACTTCGATGGAACATGAAGTCACACAGGAACATGGGCCAGCTCTGCCCACATGCCACAAAACTGCCTTTGTTTCAGTCTGTTCATCAGTGACAAATGATGTGTTAACAGGAAAGCATACCCTGCTAGTGTATAATCAGCCCTGCTTTAAGTACAAAAGAAATTAATGTTATTTGCAAAACAAAGACTTAATTATGGATTCCTGTCTTGTGTAGCTAAGACATTGTAGCTAAATTCTGCTGCATATCTGTCATTGCAAACTTGAATAATATAAATTTCCTTTTCATTTAACAATATTCCTAAAGGTGAAGTGAATTTAAATGCAAACACAGAAATTTTTAGAATCTATGAAGCAGTCTGTCCTGCTGGTTCATTGGCTCATTTTGAAAATAAATGTTAATTATTGTTGTAAATATTTGGGGAAAAATATAATATTAAGGTGTATTATTAAAACATAGATGAGCATGTTCATGCTCCTCCCAGTGTCATGGTTTGCTGGGAGCCTATGGAAATTTGACATGACATGATTCAGTGGGTTTGGAGGTTGGGGAAGGAAGAGGGGAATATGTGGCAACTCTTCCTTCTAACTCGTTTAGAGTTTTCCTTGCCTACTATTCCGTTTCTGCATTTCTTCAGTAGTAACACACAGGCAGCATGAAAATGAGTCCAAATAAAAACTGGTTTTGCCATTTTGCTGCCTTTTTTTTCCTATTTGATTTTTGAGGGAAACACAAAGAGGAGGTAGCTTTGTATTTACAGTACACTCAGAAAATGTTCTTTCTGGAATTGAATATACTGAAAGAGATCTACTGGCATCTTCCAGAGACAGTAATTAAAAACTAATGTATAATAAAAAGGGTAAGTAAGATAAGTAAGAAGAAAAAAAATTAAAAAGGTAAGTAAGCAGAAAGGATGGAAGGTTTTCTGCATTAATGTGATAAAATAATAGCTAAATACACATCTATAGTGCCTGTTTCCAAATATTTGTGACACAACAAACAGTACAACAGGTCTCATGTTATTTCTACAAGGAAGGAGGACAACACTTCTCCATTACGTAAACGGAAAAAATAACTAGTACATGGAGGAGAGCTTTAGTTGGACCGCCAAGGAATGAAGTCCAGGTTGAAAATCTATGCCCAGTTCAAACCAGTGGCAAATCTACCAGCTTTAATGGGACCTGCACACTCAGGTTTACATCATACTCTGACAGGAGTGAGAGAAGAGCCTCCTTTTACTGCCTGATCTCCACAGGAAACATCCAGTTAGAAAGTTTTTTAATTCATGATTTGGATCAGATGCAGAAAAAAGAAAATCTAGGTACCTACCATCAATTATTATTTTTGTGCCTCCAACATTTATGGATTCAATCTGATCTTTCTTTTGAAGCTAGAAATAGAGTTTGCACAAGATTTAATTAATCAAACAAGTCACATTTACAATATGATGGTTACAATTGCCAGATCTAGAATAGCTGAGGTCTTTTTATGATATGTGTTACAGTTCTGTCTATCTGACATACAGTGATTTCTGGCAGTTCTCATTTTTATTGTCTTGTTCAGTGTATGAGCAAAGATAGTTGAAAAATGAAAGATAAAAAAGGAAATAATAATACTTCAATATTTTGTCACACCCCAGATATTCCACGATATAGAGACAAGAATTATGGGCAGGGGTTATGCTCCCTGAAAGCTTTCACAAATTCTTGTTCCAGTGGCAATCTGTTCTGTTTGTAGAAATAAAATTAGTAGGTTCATGACTTTTTTGAAAATACCTTCTGTGACTATCATTGTTATTCTGCATAACATATTGATTGTGGTCTGTTTCCTCAAGACTGAGTTCACAAGAAAATGCATCAGTATTAGTTTTAGAGCAATGCTGTCACTTTTCTTCAGATCAGAGAAAAAGGCTATACCTTCTTATCCAAGATGTTAAAAGTATGATCTCATTTTTCTAGAATATTTTGTAGTACATTACTTTCACAATTTGACTTTATTATTTAAGGAATACCTCCCTTATTTCCTGTATGGATGACTTGGCCTGTGTAACAACTTCTGTCTGACATAAATATTGTAAAATTACATTCTTTGTTATGTGCAGACAACTCTTTTCTTTCTCAAAAATAACCAAAGGAAACTTCAGGAAAACGGTACTTGCTTGTTCCAATCCTGACATTCCACATGCAGCTACATGGAAAACACAGTCCACCCCTTCACATGCTTTGAACACTGCTTCATAATCCCTCACATCACCCTGTAAAGTGAGAAAAGAACAGATTTTTGACAGGTAGAACTCCTTACATTCTCTACAGAACTGTATTAACTAAGGCTAGTAAGGAAAATCTAAAGGCATTCTGGTCTGTTTTTCACAGTACTTAACAATTAAATAAAATATTATGAACAGACAGAAAAAGCAATGACTAAGAATTTTGCCAGTATTTTGTTGCAAAACAAAGATGACTCTTGTTGGCTTCAATTATAATGCGTATTTTCACACTTAGTCCTGCAGCCTCCAGGCTGGCAAAACTTGTTTGACTTGAATGGGAGCAGCAAGTGTTGGAGGGCTGGAGAATCCAGCCCCAGGAACAATAAATCACAGCAGGAAGGGTTCAGCTGTTTCCCTTGGAATCACCAAATAAGAAAACCTCGTTTCTGTTGGCACCTTGAGATATAATCTGTGCTGTCTTCACAAATGTCTTTTTATCCATCTAAGGTTTGTTTGGTGCACTGTATGATAACTTTAATTACAGTTTTGTACAAGAGTAAAAAACCCACTACAATCTATATGTATTTAATACTTTATCTACTGTACATTAGTGTACAATAATCACATTTATGAAATTCCATGTATCACTGAGCATACCTGTATCTAGTATTAAATCCTATGATGGGGTTAGAATATTACATTGCATTTTTGTATACCAAGTAATACTACATTAATAGTACTCCCATACATACAGATAACAATAAAAATATAGTACTTTCGTTTTCAGAATTTAGATATTTCAAAATATTAGATATTATATTATTTCTTGTAATGAAATTGATAAAATAATCCTGAAAGAAACAACTGAAGGTAATATTAAGAGCTATACTAATCAGTCTTTAACTGTCAACTTTTTTCTCCTAAGGTTGCCAAAGTATTTCACAAATACAGCTGACTTACATTTCCCACACTCAATGCAATACTACAGGAGCTAACCAGTATAAACAGTATTAACCATCTCCAAATCACTGCTCAAGGCTCAAACCTCTGAAGTCACTTACTAATTAATTTACTAGGACTCCATAGTTCAATTTTCCAGGTAACTCTCCTACATTTTGTAATATTTATTCTATTTTAATTGATTTATTAAAAAACACTGTTCTAGAAGATCATTTGTGAGATCTCGAGTCCCCTTTAGAAGATGTAAATTGCCATGAGTCCAAAAACTTAAATTAAATTATGTGGACTTACAGCATTAACAAATCAAGCTTATGGTGTTTGAATGGTTCCTCAATAATACTTTATCCCTCTTCCATAGTCTGTAAAACTTGTTTATTAAATCGAACTTAAAAACATCCTGGGTCAGACAAGTTCTGGTTTAACCTGGTATTCTGCCCTCCCCAGAATCATCCATCTCTCTCTGCCTCCCTTCCACCTGCCCCAGAGGGTGATGTAGCCCAAAGGAGAAAACCTGGCATCACAATCACAGGGATGATTGTGAACCAAGGTCCTGTGATCCCTTCCAGCTTTGCCATCAACTTCCCAGTTCTAGCAGCAGTGGCAAATACTCTTACACTAAATGCTCAGAAAAGACCAGCTGAGCAATGCCCTGGGTTTAGCCAGAATTTGTGTGGCATGACAGGAGCACCCAGAAAGTGCCCTCAGAGCCCAAATCTAAGCACTGGGAGCATGTGAGAGGTACTCAGGAATGTGTTCTCCACATGTGGCAGCGAGCTGTCAAATACTGGAGACCTCTGGTGTTCCCCCTTTTTCCAGACACAGTAATTCCTTGAATTGTTCAAAATCAAAAAGAAATCAGTGCTCATAAAGGGGTGCTGCAGGAAGAGCATGAATAGGGCAGGCAAATGTGATGCTCTCCCCCAGAATGCTCTTCTAGTCTTGAAGAATTTTCATTCAGAAGATTTCTTGAGCCTAATTTAATTTATCTATTCAGCAGTTTCCAATGGAGGCAAATTTTTCTTGAGGCTTTGTGCATGTCTTTTACCCACTGCACAAAAAGCCACATAATTTTGTTTGTATTGAACTGACTCCTCATTCCTGATGGCCCTTCCTTCTTGTACTGGAAGGACAGTGACCAATGCCACTCACAGCCTGCAGAGCTCTCCTGCTCCCGAGTTACCTCTTTCCCAGCCTGGAAATCTCAGTTTCCTCAATCATTCTCTGCATGGCAGTCGTTCTGCATTAGTGATCCCTTTTATTGCCCTGTCTCGCCTCTCACCTTTTTATTTGAAATAATTCCCCTGAGCAGGAACCTTTGTCCCTTCATTGTTCGCTCTTTCCCTGGGGCGCTGAATGTCAGCTCCGAACAGAGCATCATTGGTGACACCGAGACACTGGAACCCTGTTTTCCATCCCTTAATCAGGTACTTATGCATGCAAGGACCTTTTAGTGCGGCTTCTTCTTGTCCTGAAAGGCTTTTCAGTAAATGTTTTAATCGAAGGTCCTTAAGAGGAAGCCTTGATAATGAGCATGAGACATGTAACTCCAACACACCTTGAAAAAATCCGCTCCGCTTGGAATTTCCCATTTAGGCTTCCGAACATCAAACAGCACAACAGCAATTCCCGAGCTAACAAGGGCACATCCCAGATTGTATCCCAGGTAGCCTCCGCCTCCTGTCACCATTGTCCTGCTGCTCCTGGGAGCCAGCAGCCCAGCAGGCTCGGGCACTTGGCTCTCACAGGGTTGGCTGCTGTGGAGCTCTTCCGTGGATCCCTCTGGCATCACGACTGCAACAGAGAAGATCTCTTGAAAATTTCTGCATATTGGTTTGAGGTCTGAGTCGTTTCAATTATTCTCACACTACAATGCTCCCATACTAATTTTATCATTTAAATATGCTTAAAATGTATAAAGTAATAATTTTAGTGATGAGCTTTTTATGTGTAATGTTTAATGAGTCTGAATACTTTTATATTCCAAGATTTAGTCTTTTCCTCATATGTCTAAATTTCATATTATATAGAAATGAAGAGATATTACAGGATTTTAGAGTCATTATAATTACCTAACCTTAATGGCTATGATGGCATTTTTTAATACTTGGTTTAATCAAACATTTTATCCTTGAAAACTCATTAACTTCTGATATATTAATGCCAAATTGATGTTATCCTACTAGTCAGAAAAATAAACCAAGACATTAGATAAGAAATATAAGAAAGGATTTGCTCTACTTTTAAAACCAACTTTATTTCACATTTGGGTCTTTGGCAATGATAAAAGTTTGTTACCATTTTAAGCTTTTCTGGTTATACATTAAATATATTTAGTTTTCTGTCCAGTTCTCACTAACTTTTGACCATATTATTCTCAGTAGGGCATTCATAGTCAGCTAAACCAACAAGGGACAGAAGAGATAAGCCATCTGCCCTGTGGGTTCATCTAGTTGGGAAAACTGATTCAAGTATCATTCTAGGATAACTCCATGGGATTAACCCATCTGTACACCTTGTTCTGTATTGCAAATTAGTTTATTCTACATTAAACACTTGTCCAATAAATTTAATTCTCCCACACAGAGAGCCTCTGTTGTCCTGATTCCATGCTTGGCCTTTGCACATTGGGATCTAGGTTCTTACACCTCCAAACAAAAATCCAGAAAAAAACTGCAATCAGTCATGTCACCATAAAGTGGGAGCCCAGCTGGGTGCCTGCAGTCTAGTACAGGAATATAGACCAAATCTCTGCAGATTATTTTGGTTTACTCATAGTTGGAGAGCTCCTCATATGAGAGGAGCCTCACAATTAAGTACAGTTTGCTCTCAGCCATGTACTCCAGGCTTCAGCAGAGCTCAGGCATAAACAGGGCTCAGCCAGTAGCTCTCACTTCCAGGGTGACAAAAATTCTAGAAAAGTAACACAAAGTCCAGCCACAGCACACAAAATTATGGACTACTTTAGCCATTGCTTACTTAGTATTTTACAATTTTGTTTGTGATATTCTTCTTATTTTATATGTTGGGTTTTAGATTTCAGACACAGAAAAGGACCATATTCTCCACACTGTTACATGGTTTTAACACCAATGTCAGTTCACTCAGTTCAGTAAACTGAGTGGTGTAACACTGTAAAACACAAACTCCTTATGTTGAAAAACATCCTGATATTTCAAAAAAGAAAAATAATCCATGTTTCCAAATCAAAATTTAAATTACAGCTAATGTAATACAACTAAAACAAGTATGCTGTCCTGTTCAAGCAAGGAAACATAAATCTGTGTCTCTAGAGTATGCAATGCAGGAGTTTTAAGCCATATAAAATTATTTTGCCTTATCTTCTGAGAAAAAGCATCTTTTTATACACTGTAAGGGAAAGTAAAGCTTATCACATATATTACAAAAAGATATTTGAGAAATGGTATATATTTGAACATTTGTCATTAATATCTCCTTAAGGTTTAAATTTGTAGGAGCTATTCTTATTTATTAATGTATTCTGCTGATGAACATAGACACATCTCATGCAGCACATGTAGTGTGAGTTGCTCTTAGCTCCCCTACTGTAATTTCAAATATCAGAAATGTTCTAATTACTTCCCATACAAAGTTAAAGTCGAACATATCAGCTTTTTTAAAATAGCTAAAGAAGTAGTAAGTACCCTTGGTAGAATCCTGCAGTCAGTGCTCTCCCAGGCCTTCCTGTCCAGGTAAGAGGGTGAGATGTCTCTGTGCTGGACAATTCGTGACTCAAGGGCATCAGGTGCTCTCAGGCAGACAGAGAAGTTCCTGTGTGCTCAGGCCTTTTGCTGTTCCTGCTCCTTCGTAGCTGGTGGTTGGCTGAGAGCCAAAAAAGGGCAGGGCTTAATTTGTACATAATTTACGTTCCTTTTCAGGATAAAAGCATAAAATATTCTCCACATCAGACCATTCTGAACAGGATGGGACCTCTCACATACCAGGTAAAAGTATAAGACAATACACAACACAAATATACCATTGGTACCATCATTCTGTAGATAAACTACTAAAGAAGAAACAAAATTCCTCTTTGGCAATGCTACTAAGCACTTTCATCCTGATTTTTTTATCTCCATCCCCAACCCAATTTTGTATTTGCAGAGAGGTTTATCTGTAGGTACAAGGGTTGTTCTCTGTCTTCCAGGAGGAATGAAGGTAATAAACTACCTTGTGCACAAGAGAACAGGAAAAGGTGATGTATTGTTAAAGAATGCATTTAAAATGAATGATGAATTAATTAAATTATTAATATTATATATGTGCTCTATACTAAGATTTTAAAGCACTTTTAAAACACACATGCTTTTGCAAATTAAACAATGAGAAATCAAAGCCAACATTTTTAAATGGGTGTGTCTAAAATTAAGTCTCAAAACAGTAGTTAAGATGCTAAAGAAACACTCCCACATCTAAATATAAATTACTACAATTTTGAATGTTTGCATGTTAGAAATATCTCAAGGTCATAGGTAACTAATTGCAATTCAAATGTAATTTCATGTTCATGTGCTGACAAGAATTCAAACTGACACCTAGGCAAATATGTTTTCGTATAACATGTATGTTCTAAAGTCCCTATCGTCAGCATTAGAACCAGAATATTGAACCTGTCAGATTAATCTGCACTTCTTGGATTGCTGAGTGAGTGACAAGCTCAGCTCAAAGTAAAATCCCCAAGAACACAAAACTGTCTGTTTTGAGCTGTCCACAGCACTGACAGCTTTTACCATTTAATGCAAGAAATAAAGTGCCCATTTTATCCCTGAACTATTCCAGAACTCTCTCACAATTCAAAGCAGCTTGTCAGCTTATTCTAAGGTTATCAATCCCTCACTCTTCAGTGAAATTTAACAAAGAGCATTTTAACTTGGCTTTGGTTTCTACCTTGGCAAGAAGGGGACACCTCAGAGGAGTTTTCAGAACTGGTATTTTGTACCTCTTCTGTTATGCTTATTCTCTTACCTTTAGTAAAGAGGGATGGTCATACTCTATTCAATGCATCCTGCTAAATATTTCTGAAAGAAACAGAAGCTAAAGTTACAAGGAGAAAAGCTGCTGCATTAATATTGGAGCTTGCTTTTGGTCTTGAATCACAACTCTATACTGTCTTTTTCTACTTTTTCTTCTATGACCATTCGTAATTCATGGAGGCACATAGAAACTAACAAAACATCCAGTACTTGTAGCAGATGACTTTAAAACACAACAGGAAGGTGTCAGGGAGTTTGTCCATTTATTTACATGGAGGAGGTCTGCATTCCTCAAGTGTGTTGGCTTATGAAAACGTTGCTCACATCTCGACTGTAAAGCAATGTTGAAATGTAATTGCACTGTTTCATAGAGGAACCCAGTATGCTTACACAAGTTCATTTCAAATCACATGCTGCCAGACCCAAGGCTGAATTGAGTAAATAGGATTTGGCATAAGACAGACAAGACAATCTCCATCCCCAGCATACAAAGCCTGATCCCGGTGCTGGTTCTGAACACTGGACCCCAGAGGGGTTTCAAACCATGGCCCAGAAGGCAGGTGTGTGAGACCAAGTCTATGTCCTGGTCACTCAGCAGGTCCTGTGAACTTTACAGCTCTGCACTTCCAGGACACAGAACAGGAGCTGTGCTCCAGCTGTGGGGTAACCTGAAGAAAGGTTTTCAAGTGTGGAAGATCCTATGCAGAAAAGAGCCTCTAACAAAGTAATCAGAGCATGAAGAGCTCAACAGAGGCATGAGTTAAGATGACAGCTGGATATTTGGCGTGAGTCACAGGCAGGATGGGATGTTCTGGAGTGCCTAAGGGCAGAGGAATAGCAGAAAATCAGAAGAGACTAAGCTCTCTCTTAAACCTACTCAAGGACAGGGTTTTGCTGTATCTAAGCCCTAAATTAGTAGAGCTGCCCAAGCTTGCTGTGTGTTTGAGCACCTGCTTGTGCACTTGTTCACATGCAGATGCCCCATCAGAGGTACTGACACAGTCTGTGAACTCAGAGTGGTGAGACTTGTTTGGAAAGGGTACAGAGCACTGATCCCCTCTGCAGACCCAGAGAGGTCTGGGCAGACCTATTGTGGGGTGCAAATACTTTTGACTAAGGGAACGTATCTCTTTGTGACTACAAAAACAACCACCTTCATAACAAGGACATCTAAAACAACAGAGAGCTGACAGAAGGGAAGTGACAACAGTAAGATATTCACCCTATATGTGAGAGAAGACAGAAAATGTTAAAAAGCATTTATATCAGGTCTTGCAATGTTAATGGAAGAGAAAAAGAAAGGAGCTCTCCTCTAATGATGTCTAGCTGGGCTTAGAATTTTTAGTCAAAAATATAAATCACGGGATCTGAATTTGGGAAAGGAAACTTAAGAATATTTTTCATATAACCAAATGCTAAACATTAGGATACATCAAACATTTCTAAGGCATGAAGTCATCCTTTAAAAAGTTTACCAACACAATATTGATACAACAACAAATGCAATATAAGACATAAATTGTTATGGTAACACAACATTCTTCACATTCCTTGCTAAATCAGAGGAGTAAGACACAGAGGCAAAGCAACTTACCCATGTAATGCTCTAAGTCCAGGCCAGAAGGGAAAAGAAGATGCAGATCCTTATTCCTCGCTGCAAAGCTAAGAGATCAGGTTCTTCTTAAATCCCTCCATTCTTCATTAACATACATAAATATTCTCACTCTATCCTTCCTTTTTCCTGTTTCTTTGTGTATTTGTGTTACAGTTCTGCATATTTCACTGTTTCCTCATGGAAGGAATAAAACACACATAAATACAGCCTTGGAATGTGCTCCATAAAATGCTTTTCAAATTACTTTTTCCTCATTTCCTTTGCGTTCGTGGTTACTTTGCATGTTACACAGATTGATTTACAGGTCAAATGAAATGATAACTCTGAGCCTGCATTGCCAAGTCAGGATGGAATTACAGGAAGAAACAAAGCAACTTCTCACAGCAGCAACGAACATCCCTGTATCAGCCCTTAGGTCTTGTTAAAGAAGAGGACAGTTTATGCAGTATTTGAGGAGAAGAAATACAAAAGCATCATAAATAAAAATATTGCATTACATTGTACTGAAAAAAGGCACATTTCCATACAATTAGCAGAGATCACAGCTTTGCTTGCTACACATGGGAATCACAGAGAGAACAAAAGTGTTGAACTATACAGATGCGTGTGTGAAAGAAATTATAACAGCAGTTCTGACAGGTTTGTTATTTGCTAGTTTTTACTCTATTTAGAAAAGCCTTGGTGCCACATTAGGAGTGGCCATGGTGACAGAGGCAGCCCATGTCACTGAAAGGATATCAACTTGTGGCTTACAAGGTCTGCCTAAGGTACTTACCAAATTCTGGGTAGAATTTAAGATTCTAACTGATGAAGTCTCACGTGATACGAGTCAGAAATTATCAGACTCCTTATAAATTACTTTTGCCAGTGCATCCACTACCTCAAACTTAAATTATCATTATTGTACCAGAGAAGGGGAAGGAAAAGGGTATTTTTTGACACTGGCAATTTTCTGGAATTGCATTTTCCTTTCTTCCTCTCTCTTCCTATTACTTATTTATTTATTTAAACTAATCAGCAAGCAAACATCTCATAAGCACCTATTTCAGATGGTTTCACAAAGGACCAAAGTTTAATGGAATGAAATGTACATCTGATATACATCTGATTTAGATGCATTAAAGTAATTCCATGAAAATTCCAGTGACTTACTTGTATTAACACTTTGGGTGCCTGAAGTCTTGGAAGTTTGTAGTTACATAATAACAGTAGCAACAGGCTTATAAGGCAGATAAATTCTTACTGAACAGAATTCTAAAGGACACAACACACACTGCTGTTACCCTCCTTTGAAGCAGCATGAACTGCTGGGGGTGACTCAAATTCAGGCATATTTGGATAGAGGAATTTGTTACTATGCCAAGCTGTCCCACCCTTCTCCTGGAAGCTGTCCCGTGAAGCAGCTATGGCTGAACCATGCATAAAGAAGTTCCTGAACTGCCAGTCCTTGCTAAGGATTATGAACATCTGCACCAGTTAAACCTAGCTCAGCAGCTGGAAAATGGAAATTACGGCAGCACATGAGCTGCTCCACATGGCAGTTGCCACAGACACTCCCACTGCGAAAGCCTCCTGAAGGGGGTTGCACACACACGTGGAGGTAGCAACTGGTTCAGCCATTTGTCTTTAAGTCATTGCACACAAATCAGCATATTCAGTGAGTCACAGCAATGACATGAATTACAAACAAGCTGGCAGAAAAATATGCCTTTAGTCAATTATAAAACTCCTCTTTTATTATGTCTTGAATACAGTAAGTTGTGTTCCAGCAAGCACAAACCAGGAAAGCAAATAACACAGCTGACAGATGGGCAGTGAAGTCACTGACCAAGTATTACTCAGGTCATCCCCACTGAAACATTTCCTGAAAACATCTTCCTGGCCGAGCAGCCCTCAGCCTGAGGAGGAGCAGGTAGGATGGGAGTTTCCAGGAAGGTAGTAAGGAGATGGGATCTGTATTTTAAAGGAAGGAACTGCTCTGAGGAGGTAGCAGGGCTTGACCGGCTTGCAAGGCCACAAGGCTTTGGCTGCACAGCTAAACACACTTACAAAAGAAGAGAACTTGGATGGGGTGTAACGGCTCAATCCTGTAATACCTGACTCTTTTACAGCTTCTGTGCTTACACAGATTCTAACATCAACATATGCTCCTTACTTTTCATTTCATTTTCTTGAACAGGAAGCTTAGAAGCCCTTAGCTCACACCACCAGCAAAGAGAAGGCTCCTGAGTTCCCAACACCTACTTGGAGTGTGAGATCATGCTCAGGGGAACCAGACAAACGTGCTGAGCTCTGCCCACACAAATGAACGCCCAGCCCAAGCCAAAACAAACAGCTCAGTGATGATTATTAATGTAGGCTACCCCAAATTGGGGATTACAGATCTGCTGACAATCAGCCAATGGGGACACTGTGTAAATGCAATTGTTTTGATAGAGTAAAACCTCTGAACACCAAATATTATATGGAGGAGGGGAAAGCTCTAAATGAGAGCTTCGACAATTGCAGTCTAACACAACTGACTGAAATATTCTGATGCTTATCCACATTTGCAAAATCCAACATGTTCATTATGATCTTACTTCATAAAGATCTTTTGATACCATTTAACACCTTCATAAGAGTGTTTCCCTTTAAATTCTTTTGAAGTACTTTTATAGGAATATAAGAATCTATGCAACAGTACTGTGAAATTTCTTAAACCCTCCAAGAAACAAATAAGAAATTGCCTTTTTGGCAATACAGAAAGCTCATCCTTTCTACCTGGATTTACTGTTTTAACATTTCTGTTAGTACAAATCCTCATTTTACCAGTGATCATCATCTATACCCCAAATAGAACTGTAACCAATCCTATTAATTTACAATTAACATTTTCATATCAAATCATCTCAGCAGTTACACACATCCACAAATAAAATCACAGAAAGTGATGCATAGCACAAAGCATCAGTTTAACTGCAGCATTCTAGTAAAGGCTGGCACTAGCATGGAAGGCAGGAGTCACCTGGTTCAGAGCATACAACACTAAATAGATACCTTTATGACAGAAGTAATTTTTAATTCTCTATAGAGACAAAAGAGACAAAGGGACAGAAAAGACACAATCTCCCATATCACAGCATATCCAGTGGCACTCAGGAGATGCAGATGGCTCCTGAATAAATGCAGATCAAGTATCTTAATTTTTAATTATGAATCCATTTTTATTATATTACATTTATTAAACATCTGAGATGAATTTCTAATCCTCTAAAAAACAACAGTGACCATCTCCAAATATTAGCGAGCTGTCATTACAAAAATCAGTAAAAACCGAGTATATTTCTACTGATACTAGTAAACATATTTTTAATCTTTCTAGACAGGAAATATGTAAGAACAGAACTGCTCAGAAGATAGGCAGTGTCCAGTTATACAAACACAACCAGGCTACATCAGCAACAGGGTGTTATTTTCTTGCATGTATGGTAATTTCTGAGTCACCATCCAGAGTTGAAATAATTATTAGCAAAACTTCTCTGTGCAAAAACATGAATTACAAGCTTTGTTTTCTCCATTAAGGTTATTTCTTGGACTTTCTATGCAAAACTGGCATAAAGAATTCTCTTCCTAATATCACAGCCACCTGTCCCATCTGCTAGTGATAATAAGCACCAGTAAAGAATTCTCAAACCAACAGACAAAAAAGGCAATTTAGACATACCAGCAACTAAATGAAGAAATTATTGATACAATGCAATAAAAGAGAAACAAAAGTTGTGACCCTGTGTAACTACTGATCCATACACTTTTACAATTTGTATTAACGATATTGAAAACTATCCTCTACTTATATTTAAACTTCATAGGGTTCAGGGCTTGATTTACTTTGTATCTTGCAAAATCTTCAAGTGGAGTCAGTGCAGCACTTATCATCTGCAACTTCTTGTCTTGCCAACAGTTGTGACAACAAAGAAAAAAACCTTTCTTTCTGCTTGAAGCTGGAAGGTGTGAGCACACTTTGAAAAGAAACAGGTTAATGGTATGATTCCAAACCTCTTCAGCACCTTTTCTTCGTCTAAAATTTAATCCTACAAGTGAAGCACATGAATACTTTTTAAAATACAACTCAAAATATATAAAATCCATGGGCTCAGTGTCACCATTGACAAAATAGTAATGGAAAAACAATTTAACTTAAACTGAAAGTAATCAGATTTCCTTACTTAAATGTTTGATGGGGCTATAGTGCTATGCATTTTCTTGAGAATTTTAACAGGAATGCCTTCCTATACACTTCACCAGCAATACAATTTTCCTTGGAACAATGAGATACAGAGATAGTTGTGGAACACCAGCCTTTATCTCTGCATGCCTGTAACAACTTCCTTGCTCCTATAGGATGTTTTTATATCTGTTCCCTCTCCAAGCATCTCTCGTGAGTGATCAGCTCTTAAATGCTGAATTCTGCAGACTCAGCCACACTCTGACACACTCTTGCACACCAGACTCCAGGTGTCCACTCTCCATGAACCAGGCATTCTTCACCAGCAGGTTGGACTGGATTTCTTTATATTCTTATTTGACTGACCGGGCAATGTTTTTGAACCAAAATACAAACTACACCTATAGAAACAAGGATTTTTAAAAACCTTGCTCTGTATCTGCCTTACCCAATTTCTTGATGAATATCTTGGCAGGCCAAGATTCTCTAGTGCAACTCTGCAGTTGTCTGTGTGTCCATTGTTTTTCCTCAAACAGCTCTGTGACAAAGGCTTCTGCCTTGTTTAACCCTGAGAAAGTACTTCCACACAGTAATTTCTCTTTTCCTGTGGATTTTACTTTGCCAATTTAAAGCAGCAGGTTGGCTCTGTGAGAGGTTCAGTTTGCCCAGCTGCCTCTCCCACTACTCTGTAATGATAGTCCCATGTTTGCTGGGGATGCTTTTGATATTAGTGGGGTCTTTTTTCAGTCTGTCTCGTTCATTTAACAGATAAATCATGCAGCCCATGCCACAATTATTATTACAGCCATTGTGTCTAGTTCTAACCATCTCACGTGCTTAACTGCTTGATAGACCAGTAGTAACTACAAATACACATCTGCCTTGCTCTTTTCACCCCAAACAGTTTTCTTTGAGCTGTTCTTTGGTTATATGGGGTTTTACTCTGGACTATCTCAGCTAAGAACTAAAATCATTACAAATGTTTCCAATTTTGGGAAAAGTCACTGCTACAAACGAATATTTAATAAAATATTACCCTTCTACTGAAATACATGAACTATACATAAGCTATGATGTAAATGAGGTGACTGTTTACCTGAACACTTTTTTGAAAGCCAGAGTCATCTTTTTGGTTTGTGTTCCATTTTTCAAGCAATAATCTGTTTGAAAGAAAAACAAACCCTAAAGAATTACAGCAGCTTTTCACAGAGGCATAGAACACCTTGGAGCCTTGTTTAGCTCTGATCTTAGGTGACTTTTCAATGTGGAGGTATAATGCATTTAAAAGGTCTTTTGCAGGTACTTTTGCCTGCCATTCCTATTGAATTGGTGCTTTCTGGTTCTGGATTGGCAGTTAGGAAGGGTAACAGTGAAGAAACATATGGGTCAATACAATTTAATTGTCCTTCACTCCTATTCTAGACAATTCTCCAGGTCTATTTTTTTATATAACAGATATTGGGAGTCAGATATTCTTGTCTTCATTCCACTAAATAATAAATACAAAGATTCTTGATAAATACTCACCTCCAAGATTTTGCCTGCTTTAAGAAACTTCTAGCTTTTGCTACTTCTTGAGTAAGTTTCTTTAAATCATCTCCTTCAAAGTAAGGGAAAACTGGATTCTGAAAACATTGTTAAAATGTTTTAACTTGCACCTATTTGTTATTTTCTGTTTCATCAACTTAATTAACTGATCCTAAGCTCTGAATTTCCCTACTTGCAGAGGAGGTCTTGGTCTAGTGGTCCTCTACTAGAGGAGAGCAGAGCAGAGCAAGCCTAGACTGAACCTGGTTCTGCTCAGTAACATTGTTCTGCCGTGGCAATGCCTGAGGTCTCATGCTGGAGGACTGATGTGCTAAGCACTGTATAAGGATTTTACAATTAAATGAAACACAAGATGGCAAGGATAAGAAGACAGTAAAAGCTGAAGTTAGCTTAAAAAACACATGCAGACACATTATACACTTTTGACTTCTCTTTCAAAACTTATATTGCACTGTGTATTCCTTTCATGGGCTTGGGCACCTCACCAAGGCAGTTAGCAGAAAGGCAAAACTATGATTTCTGGTTTTGGTTTCAATATGAAATATCCTAGAAATTTTGTATTATTTTTTCTCGTTCTTCTTTTTTAAATGAAGTTTCTCTACTGATGAACTAAGTTGCAATGAAACAAAACAAAACAATTTATTTAACATACATATTCATCATCCAGCCCCTCTGTCAATATTCTGTGTGCTGCTAATTGTCCATCTTCACCTCCAGAACTGCAGTGGAAGCGCCCTCCTGTTTGGGAAGCAAGCTTCTTCAGGAATTCAACAGCTCCTCTGTTAGCATAAAGTAGAAAGCTATTTATGAAAATTATTTGCCAAAAGCAACAGCAAAAGAATTTCTAAGAACTCCTCAAAAATATGACATCAAAACAAATAGATTGGAGGACATAATTATAAATTCCTGTATAAAATGTGGCAATTACCTGTGTCAGAAAAACCTTCCCTGTTACCATCTTGGCAGCACAGACCTCTGACAATAAATAAAGTAGTCATTTTAAGAGATTTTTTTTTTCTTGCAAAGTATCATATACCTGTCTGCATAGCTAAAACAAATGGTGTGGATTTTAATATCTTGTTTCTTTATCAATCTTTCAATTTCTTTCAAAATCAGACTGCAACTGGTGTCTGGTTTTCCGTCAGTCAATAGATACAGTGCCTCTACACCTTGGAAACTGAGAGCCTTCTGAAAAGCAGAAAATAAGCTTAAATAATTTGTACATTTATATGAAAAGTTATACTATGGAACAAAAATACCATTCCAATGATTTAAGATAGCTGTATATTTGCCTCATCATTAATCAACTTAGTTTTGTCTTTTCATTTTCATTCATTAGGGAAGGAGATCAAGGATATAAATTTGAAGATTTAAGTAGATAGTTTGTAGCATAAGACAACATATTTATAAGCAGGACATTGCAAAAAATTGACTTACTGAAAAAAGAAGATTAACTGGTTTTGGAGAACTACTGACAAAAGATTTTTACATCATATTTTATGGTAGTTAAAGGTGTTTAATGTCTGAAAATCAGACTCACTAGGACTTGAATGAGTATTATGAAAATTTGCTGCAGTAATTGACTCGGTGGATATCTTTGTACTACACATATGCCTTGCAGCTCTACAGGACTTTAGTCATGATGAATGCTGTAACATTTATACAGAGATTGTGCAAAGATGTCTGGAAGAAGGATTGTTCATTAAAAGCAACATTTCTTTTTTGATTCCTATTTTAAATCTCGTGAAATTGCAAGCTCAGTTTTAAGTTATTCTTACTAGTTGATTTCTACACTGAGAATTTTTATAGGAGAAAAATTTCTTCATTTGTTACTAAAGTTCAAGAATTGTACTCAAAACCCATAAGATTCCAACAAACACTGCTTATTTAAAATCGAGTTTAGGTCAGAGTAACATACTACAGCCACAGTTGTACATAAACATCACTTTGAGCAACTGGCTATTTTCCCTCTCCAGTATTCTTTGAACACAAATATTAACAAAACTATTGATATTTGGCTTTTTTTAAAAAACTTAGTATGAGCAACTAATATGAGTATCTATGAGCCCTGGGGTCAGAAACAGTGACTTGATTTCTAAACTGTTCAGTGATTTGCATATAAAGATGTTGTACACTTGGGCATAATAATTTTCCTAGAATGTCACCAGGCAAGTGTTTTACCACAAGACAGGATGTGTTCTCCAAGCTGTGGCACACCAACCTGTAAAGCTGCAAGGATGCAGGAGTTCCCACAAGCATGGCATGTGGAAGCCCACTGCACAGCATCATGGCAGCTTTCATCAGTCGCCTCTACAAGATGTTCTTTCCAACTCTCTGTATTTTCTGCAAATCTCAGCAGGTTAAACCTGAGGAGAAAGATGACCCACAACATTTAACCCTAACCAGTACAACAAGTCACTTTGGATAAGACAGTTTTAAAATAAGTAAATATATAAAATTCTTTTAAAAATAAACCAAACAGTAAAAAAACCAAACCAAACCCCCTATCAAAGAGCCTAGTATTGGATGAAGATCTTCAGCCTTGGAAGAGTCAAAAAGCATATCTTCCTTTTCATGAACAGAAAGTCTATGGGAATGCTGAGCCTAAGAGGGTAAACAGCATCAGCCTACAGCAGAAGCTCAGGTCTTAAGAGTTTAGAACTTAAAACCGGTAAAACAACAGAAAAAGCAGCTCTTGTTACATGCACATTATACTCTAACATACAATAATTACTGAAATTGTGTTTCAGTGCTGTATTACTATAATTATTAAGCAATCTGATTACATAATAATGAGTGCAGATTTCAGTCTTTATCAGTAATTCACCATACCTGACTTCATTTTTTCTCAGCTGTTCCCAGATAAGGGAGGTAAGTTCTTTCATGACGGGTGGCAAATATGGGCCCATGGAACCAGATGTATCCATCAGAACACAGACATTTGCTTCTAAAATGGTACCAAACAATCTTCGGCTTCCTGGGCCAAAACATTAAAACTAATTAAGAGTTATTAAATAGGCTTATTTTATTGAGCATAATGTAAATCATCAGTCTTTAGGGGTAATTCTGGGCACATTTCTACATAATTTAGTCTAATCTATGTGGCAATTAGGTAGTTGAAAGCTTAACAATAGAAAAGTCTTTGGCCATTTCAAAACTAGCACTATTAAGCATTAATTACTAGCTAATTGCAGCAACTTGCACTAAATAATTTGCAGCTCCTTTACAACTCAGCAAAAAATTGAACTGTTTCCCAATAAAGATCTTTATGAGCAGCAGAGAGATCAAAATATTCTTCACCAATAGTGATGCTGAAATTCTAAGCAGGGCACATTCTTAGCAAAACATGCAGAAAAACTAATTTTGCTTGTATATGTTACTGTATGTATTCTGTTGATGGAAAGATTCTGCTCTGAATTCAGGAACACATAACAACTAAAAACGAATTATTTGTCAGCAAGTGAGATGTTTATCAGCTGCACAGATGCTGAATTCTCTTGTATTCACAAAAATAAGTTTTAAACTTGAAATGAAATTCAAGACAGAGAATCTTTATTCACATTGTAGGTTCAGATTTACATTCAGATCTATTTTACCAGAAATAGCACACAAGAAGGTTTATGTATATATTGAAGTTGTGCTTTACAGAAAAGCAGAGGCACACCAATACCTGAGAGAAGCCACTGCACTCTCTGGATATAGCGCTGCAGCACCTTCTCCAGTTGTTCTGTGTAGGTTTCCAGCTCTTTAGGGTGAAACTGCAGATGTTTCACAACCCCCTGAAAAAATTCAGTTTGTGCAAGAGCATCTTACTTGAGGAAATCTGAGCTCAGCTGCTATATATGCAATGATGGCATTGGATACCAGGGAGATTTTTGTCTTTACATCTATGAAATATGGTAAGAAATATTCTGTGACTCTGCTGCTTGCACTTAACTTTCTGTGCTTCTCTCCAGTCATTACACAAACTGAAACAATCAAGATCCAACATTTTTCCAGTTTCCACTCACACATGATTTTGAAAAGTTTTATTTAAATTTTAAAAATTATTTTTCATACTGTATGAGCAGAGGCAATGCTACACATTCTAAAGAACATGCAGTTTGGACTCCAAACATGCTAAGTGTTTTTTTTGTGGTGAATAAAAGACCTTCTCTAGCTTGATAGTGGAAGTATGATTCAGAAAGAACAGGGCAGAGTGGAGAGAACATCATACTAGAAAGTCATAAACATCAATCAACATTCACAAATAATAAACAAAGCTTTTCAGTAATGTGGGTACCTGACATCTGCAAATACCTACATTGATTTCTGCACTGGGGAAGATAGAACAGTATTTTGCTGATACTTTCTTGTGCAGAGACTGCACAGTTTTCTTCTGGTGGGTACAGCCTGGACCAAACATCAGTCTGGGCAATTCCAGTTTAAGCTTTTTAATACTGTACTTGGTCAGCCACTTGTAAGACAAACAAATAGAGCAATTGATTGTTGGCAAATATTAGAAAAGTTTAAGTAATAACACATTGTACAGAATCACAATTAACATTTACATTAATTCAGACGGACAGTTCCAAAATGGCAATTTAATAGTAAGGAGAAAAATACCTCTTTGCTTGAACAGATTTCCTCATCCTCTGGCAACGTGACAGAGCAAATAGATTTTCTTATGCACACTGCCTTTGGATACTTCTGATATATTGTACCTATTTAAGAAACGAACAAAGTACCTTAAAGATTCACTTATTTTAAATAAATTGTCACTTCAAGAAATTCTGAACCAAATCTTCTGTCATCAACTAAACCATGTTCACAGTGCCTTTCCTTGGAGCACCTTGGACCAAAAGATCCCAAGGGACTTTATAAAAGAAAAACCCTTCAAAAAAAACCAAACCAAAACAAAACAAAAAAAACACAGGCAAAAAGTGCCACCCACCTGCACCCAAAGTAAAAATCCTTACCACTGTTTGGTAAATGAAACTCTCTCCCACTCACTGTTCAAGGCATACTGGTTATCAGTGACTTATCATCCTGCCAGTTTTATAATAGAAGTGCTGATAAGAAAAGGGCTTCACCCATCCCATCCTGATAACACATACCCACGTTTCTTCCTTCTTCAGTGTAAAATACAGACACAGAAAGCTCTGGCTGCTTCCTGGATTTATGCTTTCCTTTATTCTCAGTCTGAGGCTGTTCTTTTACTGTTTGTGCTACAAGTAATAATAGATTAAAAAAACCCATTAATTTAGCTCATCTGGATAAAACTCTTACATGAGAAGAATTCAACTCTGTTCTCTTCGTATTTTCCTATTACCACAATTAAAAATGCTTCATTTTCTTTGATACTGATTAAGAAAAATCATATTATAGCACTACTTAAGAAGCTTTAATAGAAATGAAACCTTTAGAAATATAGAAATTACAATCAGGAAGAATGTCACAGGAGTTAGTCTGAAAAAAATTAGGGGTTTGAACAAGCACAATATTTGTTGGAGGAAATCAGTTAACTTTGTAGAGAGGACCTCAGATGCAAATATGAATCCAGATTTGTAAACACTGCTACACATCAGCATCAGTAGATTTGAAGACTAAAACTTAATTTAAAGAAAAATTGCGAATGTTAGCGATGATACAAAGAAAAAACACAGGAAAAAAAAACGGAGGAGAAATGAATTGGGCTTTAAAGGACCAGCAGTAACTGGAATCAGTTTAAGAGCTTTTCATATACCAGAAGCAGTTGGAAGAACCAGCACTTCAGACAACCTGACACTGGTGTTGTATTTTCCTTCATTACTAGATCATAAATACATCAAGTGGAACAGCATATTAATTAAAATGGGATCTAACAGATTTAGTGGCAATGTATACATTGAACTAAAAACATAATATATGTCTGAACTGCTGAGCCTTATGGCTTCAGGTATAGAACACAGTGGGGTTCTACTTTCCATCAGACACATTTGACATTTCCTGATAAAGGTCAGGTATTCAATCCTAGGACCTGGAAATGACAGCTGTGCAGAGTTCCTTCCTTGCACAGAGTAGAAACAAACAAGATAAATAACAGCTAAAACTCATCCCAAAGGAATTCCAAAACAAGCATGATGGTTCCTATAAATCTGATTAAATATTACAATTTCAGGTGTTTCTAAAATCTTAAATATGGTCTTTTAAGCAAAACCCAAATGAAACTGAAGACAAAAAGTCCCTAATTCATACAGACCTGGTGGAATTCCTGCTTTGGTGCTAGGAGGACGCCATGCTAGTACTCTTACAGGAGTATTTCTCTCTGTACCATGGTTGTCTTTAACATCCTTAAGCACCTTTAATAACAAAAAAATAAATGTAAAAAGTGTTTTAGCCGGATTGTAACTGCATGATTCTAATCTGGAACTATGCTTCTTTATTCTTTAATTCCTGCTTTATTCTGGATTTGACTAATCCACAGACTGTCATGACAACACATTAATTTGCAGTTTCTTGCTGGGTTAAGTAACTAATTGCTCTGTTTTAATTATCTTGCCAATATCATCTGCCACCATAAACCTGAAGACTAGCATCTACATGGAGAGGAGTTTGGACCATTTTTTGCCACCTGAAGGAGCAGTCTAGTATGGTAATGACCTTGCTTTATAGAATGCAGTATTTAGTATCTTCATTATAATGACTATTGAAAATCTAGTGCTGACACCAGTAATTTCTCCTTTGGGTTTGGCTTATCCCTCTAGGGGCTGAGCAGTCTGCTAAACAACACAAGCACTTGTTTAACCCTACTCTAGGATAAGACTTGCTGTGACACTGAGCCTTCAAGCAACTGACATCTAATTTAACATGCATCTCTACTATAAATATTACCAAACATCTACAGACAATCCTGTACCCGTTTCATACAAGTTTAATCTCTGCAAAACTACACTCTATTGTTATCTCTGAGTAATTAGTTTCTCCTGCATTTGTGACGAGGTGTTGAGAACATGTCACCTTTGATAAAACACCCTGGAAAACCTACAAAGCCTTTGCAATATTCCCACGCCTACATTCCCATTCCCTACATTCCCACACCTACAATGCCATTCCCATTTCAAAGATGAGACCTGAAAGTTCCAGTAAGCGCTGGCCCTTTATGCATATTACAGATGTACACACCTACTCAAAACAGACATATGCACAGTTAAAATGAACAAAAACTAGCAAAATCCCAAGGGATTCTGTAGTGCAGCTCCATGGAAATAAGCACAGCAGCCAGGAAACAAATCCTGAATCTTGGTCTTGTTTTATGCTGGCTCTCTGTGAGGCCAGACATGCTAGTGAGCTGCATCTGTCTCATCTGTAAATGAGCAGAACATCATAATATCCTTCTAGAAGGACTTGCAAAATAGATGTAATTTGGTAAAGCACATTTCTGCTTTATCTTTTAAGGTCAGAGGAAGGATTATTTAGATACCTTTTGACAAGACAGTGTGGTTCCATTATAATTAATTACTCAGTATGATGCACTTTTTGGTATATGTAGCATTTTGAATGCAAACATAAATTCGAAGTACTATCACAGTGCTGCTCTTATTTCTTCAAATTTTCAGCTGAGCACTTCTCTCACCAAGAGGAGTACCCAATAGCTCAGCAGGATCTTTAATTAACACAGTATATTAAAGATGGGACCATTTCAAACCATTCTAGCCAGACTCACAGCTGTGGGTTTAGGAGATGGCACCTTCTGTGTTTTTTTTTTCTCACTCCTCATAAACACATTTGAGTCTCCTTCTGGTGTGATGGGTTTCACAGACTGATTTACTGAGCGTTGCTTTAAGGACTCCACTAGGAATGCACACTGAAATGGAAATCCACATTGATTAGTAATTCATATACATGGAATTTAAGGAAATGATATTTCAAAGACAGGTATTATGTATCTACTACTATAATAATAAATATCCTATCTGATAACGCTTAACACCTCTTACTGAACAGAAACCATTGAGTGCTTGCTCAAACACACTGTATGGAAACCCTTCCTGCTCTGGGCAAACAGACTAATCCAAAAGGCAGCAGTGTGTATAGACCAAGGCTAGAGCAATGTGGAGGATGGTGAAACAAGTATATGCAACTGTTAAATGATAACAAATTATTTTAAGGTGTCATTGAATAGCCACCAGCTCTTCTTTTAAAAAAGTCCAATTTTTGTGACTCAGACTTGCATTCAACAGGGTACTCAGCCCTCTGGACAAGGTTCTTACTGCAGATCTCTTTCTCTTCACACTTTTATAAGAAACAGCCACCACACTTCCAGGCTGGCTATACTGCCTCAGTTATTCTGTTAGATATCTTTGGAAAAAAGTCATGTGCATGGAATATGGTGAGATACAGTCTAGTTCTACACCCTCAGTACACTTGAAAAAACCTCAGTACACTTGAAAAAAAAACTGTTTCAGAACAAAACCACTGTGGTAATGACAAGCCCTCCCTATCCTGGGACTTACAAGAATGTAGCATTATTCATTTGCATGTAACATATATAACTTTATTATAATGAAGAATTAATTTACTTGAAAAGAATTCATCACAGGATTGGCAAAAAACAGGAGAATCACTCGAACTGTAAACTTGTATTTGGTATGGAATCACGGCTACTCCAACACCAGTCACTGTAGTGCTATTGTGCAACTGCTTTCTAGTCCATATTTACTCTATGGTCACTATTCTCACACTCTAGAACATTCCTGCTCACCATAAAACGGTTTTGTTCAAGCTCCTGGATTGTCAGCTGAACAAACACTGTTGAATTTTTTAAGGAGGAAAAGTAATTTAAAAAGTTCTATGTAATTCATACCTTTTGGGAGTAGTTCTTTGCTTTTTCCATTTCAGATATAATACTAGTAATATCATCACTTTCAAAAATACCTGATAATCAAATAGATTCTAATTAGCACAGGTTTTTTAAAGTGTACAAAGTAAGGATTTTCTAAAATATACAACGATTTGTATGACATGCTAAATACCAATACAGAGGACCAAAAAACCTTTGTTTCCTGCAAGCCTGATCATCTGGACTTACCATATCAATAACTATATTTTAAAGCACCTTTAAAAAGGCTACCAGAAAATAGTGAATTCAAATAGAAAAAAAAACCAAAAACAACCCAAATTCCTTAATTAAGGCTGCATTATAATATTCTGCAATGTGATTGCAATAAAACTATGACCTGTGTTTATATCTAAGTGCTAGTACAGCATCAGCATATCTTAAAAGAAGAAAACTACTTGGTTTGGGAGTAAAAATCATTAATGAATATTATTTCATTAATGAAAAAGAAGTATGTGTTGACTTTCCTTTGCTCATACCTGCTTCTCCAAACCAGTGAAACCTTCCACTGGCTGCCTGAACAATTTCTTTAAAAGCACAGGCAGTTTCCCTTGGGTTGGCGTAGCGGGCTGGAATAATCCCACTGGAGTCAGTGCCCTTTGCTACACTGAATAGGCAGACATGGAGCTGGAAATCAAAACCTCCACAAGCCTCAGCCACATAAGCACTGATTGTGTGCTGTAAGACAGAGGAAAAAGAAACATCGGGGTGAGCCTCTACCTCAGACAAGCTACCATCTACTCCACTGGTTCCTGTCTGTTGTACAAATCCTCAAATCCTCCCAGCTGCAGCAGTTCAGCACAGGAACCTACCCTGAGTAGTCCAATGCCTCCTCAGTCCATGCAGACACACAATTAGCACTATTGCTGGCTACAGTGGCAACAGCTCTACTGCAGGCAAGAGGTGAGCTGGGGTAGATTTGGGAACCAAAGGCAGACATCGTGGACATCAATTTAGCAGTGCACTGAAGCAAGGTAGGGATGAAACTGTCCATCTGTCCCTCATTTTCTTGTCAGCTATACAGGCTTTAATAATTTCTTAGGTCTGCCCAGAATTTCTAGAGGTTTGGTAACAAAAGCAGGAGACACCTCACTGCACACATGTGAAAACTCGAGGCTGTGCACACGACTTAAAAGCCATGGAGCACATTCACTACAAACATGGATCCAAGCAAGGGATTACTGGGATAAAAACAGGAGCTGTTTCTACATAACGTGCTACGGAGCTTCACTGGAAAATTATTTGTGTCTTTGTTCCCATGAACTGTACAGAAATGAAAGATTACAAAAATCAGCTTGTTCAAACTCAGAAACCTGAAGCAAAATTATGTCCAGAACTGAAGTGGGAAAGGAATCCTAAAAGCACATCTTGAATTTTCTATAATTCACACACAATAATTGCTACTCCAACACATGACTAACAGTTGCAGAAATGGAAGCCTGGGATCCCCACAGTTGTGCTGCCTTAGGTATGTAAAGGAGGAATATTCTGCCAATGAACTGTGATGACTGGCCACAAGGGGAAAAACAAGTTGGGGAAAAAGAGAAAAAGAAAGTTGATACTAGTTTTGATAGGAACTTAAGAGGAAAATTGCCTGTGATGACACTCACTGTTTCCTGATCAGGTATTCCAGTAGTCAGCAGGTAGAGCCCCTGTGATTTGTGTTTATCTTTCTCTTTGAAGTCAACTTCCACAGCTCTTCTGAGTGCACTCATGAAATTCCTACTGCCCTTGCACTCCAAACTCAACACCCACCTAAACCAAGATGTTTACAGTTCAAAGAGTGAAGAAACAAAACCTCTTGTTTCTGCTCAAAGTAATATAGAGAACTAAGTATCTTAAATAGCACTGCACTGGAGTCTAAAATTTTTGAAAACGACAGAGAGCAGATCCAGATTATATAACAAACTATTTGCTCTGGTTTCTGTACTGCCAGCGTGGCAAACTAGTTTTAAAGTAAGATACAAAGCATAAAAAGGAAAGAATTCTCTCCTTATTTTATGTAATAGTAATATAGTAGTAAAAAAATAGTAATATAGTAGAACTTACAGAAACAGGAATGAAACGAGAGGTACAGTGAGAACACAGTGTGACTCCACAAACAGAAACCTGGGATTTTTTTTCCAAAGCATGTGGGAAAAACCCTGTTGTTTAGCTCTCACATCCCAGCCATATTTGAAGAAGTTTTCAATTCTTCATGTAACTTCTTTATTCCTTACACAGACACTTTTGTATCTGTGTACATATATATTATACATACATATGAAATACAAAGTCACCAAGCTTATTAACTTTTACAATGCTGTCTTCACAAGAAATCACTATGAACAAGCAGTGTGAAACATGTCAGCCTATTTATGTAACATGGTAAGCTTATACAATTTTTCAGTTTGTTTGCAATTTTTCTCTGTGAAATTCACATACACGGGATAATTATTTGATCCTACCTCCAAGCCTTTTCTAAGTTTTCTGGTTGGGAAGGACACAGTTCCTGTTGCCAAGGCACAATATCACTCCCAAATCTTTCACAGAAAGATAACAGCAATTAATTTTCAGATTACAGTTTAGAGCAAGCAAAAAGAAAAAATAAATTCACTGAAGAAGAAAAATCTCATTGAGGTATTATAGACATAAAACAGCCCGATGCCAACTATTTTCTATTTCAAACCATTTAACTATCCACATTTATCCATCACCCAAGGTTTGTTTGATTTTCTTTCCTTAACAGGCAGGATCCTACATGAGCTGGGAAAAGCTCAGTGAAAAAGGAACTCCATCCCACAGCTGCTGCCTGTATCTCTCTTGTGAGATAAGGGCTCTGTTCTCACACCATGTTAGGAACTCCAAGAGCTGCTGGCTTTTACTTTTACCTGCGAGTCACCTGCCCAGCAGCTGCTTAGCAGTTGTGCCTGCCAGTGCTGAGTACAGAATTTTAACACTGTAATATTTAACACTGTAACAGTATTGGAGTTACTGTAAAATTTAAAGGGTGCTCTCAGTTATGGTACCTGAGACATCAAAATCCTCTTTTGGTAAGTTTCTGACAGGTGAACTAATACTGTTATGAACAATACAGCAGGATGAGTATTTGTTACAGGTATGATGCAATCAGTTCAAGTGACCCTCACCCAAACCAGTGATTTTTAATTATTAATCTGGTCTCCATCTGATCCATGAACTCACCCAATAAGGACCAATCAGTGCCAGTCTTGCAAATACTTCACTAAAACCATTAAATACTAAAACATGCCTATTAGTAACTACAAGCTCTCAGCATACTTCTTTCATTGCAATGCATTACAGTTATTTTAAAAGACTCTTAAATAGTTACTTACGCTATAATATTGAAGTAGTCCTTATTTGACATTTGTTCCTCAAGTAAAAGTCGCAAAGAATGTTGGATAAGAGTGATATAGGTAGAGTTTGTCGCTGATATATCAACAAGTATAACCACCCTATATAAAAAATATGTTATTCATTAAAAAAAAGAAATAACTCTTATCTAATTATGTATTCTTGTCTTCAGTGCACTCTAACTTGTCAGGGAAAGTACCTTCCACCTATGTATCAAAATGTATAAACACTGAATCTGTATTTAGGAAAAGTTCCGCAAAACATTAGGTAGCTTTAAAAAAAAATAGTAACAGTAATGAAACTTCAATCTTTCCTAAACTATGGAATTATTAGGATCCTGGCTACTTGTAGTGCTATAAGGGCTGGTGAACTCCAAACAGGTCTTCCTCTTTCTCTGTACTTGAGTATCTAAAGCCCTCCTGAAATGTGTGGATGTTTGCCAGCAAGGAGAGTTGATGGATGGTTCAGTCCTTTCCCAGTCAACACTCCAGGAACATATGGAATATTACTCCAGAGACAAATGGTTAAGGTTTCTCTCAGCTCATCAGTGCCAGAGGGGTTGCTCAGGTATGGACTGTCTGATGCTATCAAGCACGTCACCTGCTTAGAGAAAAGTGTTAATGATGAGCTGCTCAGCGCGGTCAGTTTTAAGTCTTGCTTGCATAGACAACGCAGGATGGTCACAGTTAATGGACAGGGATGATTTGGGAGCAGTGGTTTTGAAAAGACCCACAAGTGTGATGGAGAGTTGGTGGGATGTGAGCTGCCAGCACAACACAGTAGCCAGATAAACTAATTCAGTCCTAATCAATGAGCAAAAAAACCTCTTGTAACAGGGGTCTCAGCTACCTTCCTTTTGTCTCAAACTCCATATTCAAGGTTTGTAAACAGGAAAAAGAGCAAATGTGCAATTGAGGTTGAGGCCTCAGACAAGATGTAAATAAACACTGTCCTCAAACACATTAAGGCTTCAAACCTCACAAAAAATCCCCAAAATCAAATACAATACCTTCTTTCACAAACACTTCCCCATATTCTTCTGCTAGCACCAGATAGCCAGTCAATTCGTTTCTCATAGATTCTTACCATTTTAGCAAGGATTTTCTATGCATAAATAAAGAAAATTTATGTTAAAAATAAAAAGTTCAAGTCTTTTATTGTCAAATGCTTAATAAGACAGAAATAACATAACAGCATAGTAAAAAAAATATTTTCATTCATTTAGATAGTGACATTTCATTTTTAGTACAGGTATGAGAACACAGACCATGAAAAAACATACAGTGAAAAAAAAAGCAGTAAAGAATCTAGAGGCCAGTATCTCCACTTTTCCTCTTGACACCATGTTCAAAATAGTGTTCAGGCATATCAAGAAAACAAAAAAAAAAGAGCTCTAAGAGTTTTTACAAGCTTACACTTTCTTCAATAACATTTTTAGGCAGTGTTCATCACAAAACACATAATATAACATAAACACAATATTCTCAAACACATGTAATTCTTTAACAGTATCAATTTGATATCAAAGTAATTTGTCCAAACTCTATACACCATGACCTTTCCAAGTATATATAGGTATTAAATGAGGGCATATCAAGCTAGAAAAGGGCACTGAACTCAGAACTATCATTTAGCATGCTTTTGGAGCACAAAATGCATGCATCTACCAGTGAGCAAGGAGCCACAGAAGCTGATTTTCACTTCAGCCACTTCACACTCTCCATTTGGTCTGGCTGTAGAGTTCCACAGACTTCACATCACTCCTACTGTAATGAATTGTTTTCCCTGCCTGGAAATATTCCCATAGCCTTTTGTGAGGACTGCCAGTAAAGTGGGAAAGAAAAAGGACCGATAGACCACTATACAGCAAACCCTGGTTTCAAACATCCCCAGCTTCTCTTTGATTAAATCTGTCCCATTCTCTGATGATCCGCTTTCTGATCTAGCAGAAAATCCTCAAGAATCACTACTGCCTGTAAGAATTCCAGTGGCTGCAGACTTACATGGACAGCTGTCTGCACATGAATCCCCGCAGTACTTAGCTAACAAGACAATTAGGAGGATTAATTAGATGGTAGTCTAGCCCTGACAAGGCCACATCACGATAGACAACTCACCTGATAGTTGTACAATACTGGAAGGTCAACATGGATATTTTTTACAGTTCCATCATACCACTCAAACTGTATCATCACTTTCTAGAAGGATAAATAGAGTTAACTGTTTACAGAGCTCAACATAAGATAGACCAACATGGAATTTCTTCCTGAGTCATTCTTAAGAATGACATTAAGTATTTGAGTTGAATCTATGATTCAAATTTCAGCCTGTAGAATTTCAGGCAACTTAAAGTACTGATTTAAATTAGAAAAATGTAGCAGTATAAATAAAAACACTCCACAAACCCAGGGAAAAAAAAGTTCCTCATCACTTGCCTCATGTAGAGTTGATGATACTGTTTTTTTAAGAACAGGTATAAAATTTTCCACAGGAGAGAAAGCATTGGGAGCCAGAACTTGATAAAGGTCTAATTTTTTAGCTATAGGAAGAAAAAAAATACATTAAATAAAACACATACTCTGTCTTCAATTCATGTTTCATATCTGTTAAGCTTTTCTTTCTGTGCTACCTTTCAGTCCATATGTCTTTAACCAGTCTGCTGAGGTTTTGGCCAGGATGTCTGGTGTTTGAATAACTAATGGTCCTTTATTCTTTGGAGGCTTTGGGAAGAAGCTGGAAGGTGCTGTATTTGCAAATTCTGTGGAAACCTAAAATGGATTTCAAGAAAAGCTCATGCAAGTTTTAGCATAATTTATTTTTACTCTCAATTCAAAATATCCAACATAGAATCCTGGTGAACATAATTAAAACTGAAGTGCTGGGATTCCAACAAACAAAATGCTTTGAAAATAGCTATCATTGGTCCTCCTAAAAATGGGCTTTTACTGGGGATATAGAATCTTCTAAATAATTTCAGAGTGACTTCTGCTCCAGAGGTAGCCTACACAGTAACTATGAAGTTGGAACAGAGAAAAAAAAAATGTACAGCATAGGAAGGTTGAGGGGAAAAATAAAGAGAAATTTTATTCAAAAATAACTACTTTGCCTCCTGTCTGGAATGTCTCAGGTCAGATGACCAGCTACACAAGAATATCTAATGTGAGCTTTCAGCCCCACTTTCAGATCAGACTTGTCTACATCACACAAGTACCTACAGTGGTTGTGACAGAGAACAGACTATTTCACTAACAAAAAAATTCCTCCTAGACTTGTATAACAGTGCTACCAAGACAAGCCCTTATAAGTCTGCAATAGATTTAAATGTCCAACTAAATCACATAGGAGTATCTTTTCACCAGTTTAAAGGACTGATGGAACTTCATCTATATGATTGTGCATAGAGTTAGGCTAGTGCTTCTTAGACTCCCATTATGATCACAGGACAATGTTCTTTTTATGGATTTTGGAGAACATTTAGCAAAATATCTCCTTTGTTGATTTTGTTCTTAATTTGCTCTTACAAAGGATGTTCAAAAGAGAATATTCGAAGTTCACATATCAAAAAACCTGATACATCACACAATTTTTTTTTATATTGTGGACATTTAAAATTTCTAACCTTAATTATTCAAAATACATCTGAAAATAAAGAGATACATACATCTGCTTTTTTACTACCAAGCAAGCCACCAACTCTTCTTTGAAAAGCCTGTTTGATGCTCTTGAGTAGGTCCTTAGCCTTCTGGGATTCTTGAAGTAGCAGATGAAAATCACTGCTATCAAAATTCTGCAATTATAAAAACAAAATAAGTTAACTACTGCTCAAACAGCAACTGAAAGCAGCTCTCTTACTTTACTGTGCAAACATCAATACAAGACTGCCTGGCATAGCAGAATTGAGTATAAATGTATCTAATGCTCTGCATATAAATTAGTAGCCATTTATAAACAAGGTATTACATTATAACTTTGAATCACTCTACAGTAAGCCACTGCTTTTATCAGCAATAAGTCAGTAAACAATAACTGCAAAATTTATTGCACTTTTAGGAAATGCTTTCAGTTGCAGAAAGAATTAACCACAGGTTTATTGAGCACATCCTCAGCATTTCTAGGACAGAGACTTTCAGCACTTACTATCAACTTCTACTCGGGTGATAATGATTTTACTTTCTCAAAGTGAAAAATCATCAAAAAGAGAGAAAAATGCTTTGCCTCTCTTCCTGTCACCTACCTCTCCCTTGGAAGAGTAGCAATGGTAACGGCCTCTTACAGCTTCTGCAAGGTTCTTTAGAACTGCCTACATATAAAAATAGGAAGAGAAACAGTTACTTTGATTTGATAGCCTCTTTTGATAATGTGGGTTTTTGGTATTCAGTTCTCAGTAGAGACAGAAAAAGAGTTTTTGAGATACTTGTAGTAAGAAAGCCAAAATAATTGTTTCCATCATTTGCTTACCAGTCTTGTTTCAATATGGCTGAAAAATTAACTCAGTAAAGCAAGTTACAAGATGATGCTCAAACAATTTCTTCATGTGTGCAAATCTGCTCTGAAGAGAATACAACACTCTTGAATTCAAGAACTCTAACGATTAGGTTAGCTTCCCCACAGGGTTATGAGAGAAGGCATTACAGCTAAATAAGAAAAGAAATGACAGGGCACTTCAGGAAGTTAAGTATTAACACAATTACTTACAAGAGAAGCAGGGTTGCAATCATATGTAACAATGTGAATCTGCACTTTTCTCCCCAGTGTACACTGCTGAGCATAATCACATAGTATTTCAAAAGACTGATCAGGGCTGATTAAAAAAAGTAAAGAAAAAAGATATTAAAAATGGCAGTAATCAAATGTGGGAAAAAAGGCCATACTGAAGAAGACATGGAAGAAAAGCTGGGAAAGAAATAATAAATCATGGGAATTATTTAGGTATTTAGCATTATCATGCTTTTGGAGGAAACTTCTCTCCCTCTTTCAAGCATTACTGAGATGTCACCACTGTAGTTTGGGTCTGTCCTGAAAATCTGAATGATAACAAACTCGCAAGGATTCTATTCCCATTCATAACAAATGTTTTGAAGTATCCCCTGCTAGCCCTGAAAGCTAAAAATCAGGAGCTGTGGCTTTGGCTGCTGTGATAGAAAACCTTTCAACTCTGGTGTGTAAGGATGCCCTCTGTTTCCAAAGGCACCAAAGAAAGTAAAACTTTGCTTGATGTTTAGAACTTAGTGTCCCACACAGCTTTCATTTCCTAAGCTCTGATGGCTAGTAAAAACCTTTCTTTCCAGCTACAATTCTGCCAGGGACAGAAATTTAGGAATTTTTCACCTAGTATAAACTTCTATTTTCTGTTCAGAGCAGATCTAAGCAAAACCTGGAACCTTCTAATCAACACTGTGTGTTCAATAAGTTATCTGAAATCTAAGTTCAATTACTCCAAGTATCAATCTTGCCAAGCTTACGCCATCTCTTTTTGCACATTTAAAATAAAATACAATTAATAATTTAGGTGTAAGGTAACACTCCTAGAATCCTTATCATAGTCTTTTCCTCGTAATCCCAACTCCAATATTGCAATTTTCAAGTTATGACAGTAGAACTGAAGAATTTAAATCTATAATTTATATAATCTCATCTGGTATCATTTATTTAATCACACATTTTAAGTTCCCTATCAGCACTACTAAGATCACAGAGAGAAGAATCTTAGATTTTGCTATAAAATAGCATTAAGCATTCAATCTTATCCTCTAACCTTCCTAGAGGTGTGGACTCTTTCAGTGACATCTTTAATGATGATGTAAAATTAGAGCCAGCAGGCTCTCAATAGATTACTGTGATAAATGATCAGCAAAGGAAAAACATAGCTTCATACCAGAAAAGAGAAGATCTATAAATAGTAAAAAAGGTAAGAAATAAAGGAATTCAAAGGTATAAACTAAACATATGTAAAACTTGGATCTTAAATTTTCTATTTCTTTTTTTATCAAGTCCAGTTGCTTGTACTAAGCCTGTATCCAATCTAAATCTGGTTGTTCAGATAGATAATGAACTTACCAGCTTCCTACAATAAGAACCAAGGAATTCAGTTCTTTCATTGGAAGGATGTGCCTTAAGGCTTTCAGCAAATTACAGCCTCGACCAGGCTCCAGCTCTTGTATCCACTGTCTTGCTTCATGTAGCCTAGGAGAGGGAAAAAAAAAAAAAAGAATATTTAGGCTCTAAATAAGGCAGATCACAAAGATTACTACAAACCACAGGAGCAGCTAAAATATTTTATATGTGTAAACCATCTTGAAACCAATGACCACATGCCAAATTCATTGCTTTTCTCCCCTCTTAAAATCACTGCAGGCACAAGATTAAAAACACTATTACCTACAAGAGATTGCTCAAATAAAATGGAGACCTTGTTTGAAACATCTTGATTTTTCAGAGAAATTAACTTACTTACACATGAACATTGATGATTTTTGGACTCTCCCACAGCAGTGAAATTTCTGTACTGAATGAGAGGCAGTACAACTGCTTCTTATAACAAAGCTGCTCATCTATTAAGCACTAATAAATAAAAAATTATGAATGCATTACTATCCATGGTGCTTTTGGTAGGGTTATTATGTAAAATACTAAAAATAGGAATTTCCTAAAAATAGTTACAGCAATATTTTCATCTACCACTAAAAATAGCTTTCTAAGAAAAACTCACAGATATTCAAATATTTGGTAAGGCTAGAGAGAAAACCTGCAAACTTATGGCATTCCAACTAATTTGTTAATGAGGCAGGAGGCAAGGATATTTGTTGTACTGGTACCAGTTTTTCTCTTCAGTTGATGACCACATCAAACAGCAGTGATCTAGAATGCACATACCCACCAAGCAATTTTAAAAAAATGGTTAGCATGTAATACTGGCTAGGGCTAAACAATAGTTCAGATATTGAGGCTAAGCAAACCAGACTATGTGGAAACTGAGTTTTCTTGAAGGAGTTTTATTTGAAACACACAAATGAAATTACAGCTGCTTTTGTTAGGCAAGTTTATTCCACAGAGAATGTGGATAGAATTGAGAAACTTTAACAATAACACTTCCCTTAATAATATTTTGAAGTATATACTGGATTTGTTTTGATCTGGACATTAACAAATACTACACTTTCAACAACATTCAGAGCATACTTTTCTACAATAGAAAATACCTATTTTATCATATATTAAGATTTTAAGCAAATTTTTTTCTATTTAGTTCCTGGCTTCTAGTTTCACAAAAGCTTGATTAGTATGCTGAAATTGGCAAAATTTGCTTTATTATTACTTACCAAAAGGTTCTTCTGAAAATCCAGTAGTCTAGGTCCATAACTCAAATGAGACACATCAACCAAAAGTCCAACTTTAGTTCCTTTTATAACACCGAACACCTTAGAAAAGTCACTGTAAATATTAGCTATCTACAGTTTAATAATTTTACTGTTTATTCTGTACAATACCATTTAAAAAACAAGTATAAGGTATTTATTTTAATTTTAAATGTTTTAGCATGAAGATGACATGGTGACCAGGCCAAGGAGGAAAAGAAGAAAAAAAGAGAGTCCTACTGGCTCCCAGTTAATCCTTACTGGTAAATCATATTACCTTCTTCCCAAGACAGCTTATTCCTTGATTAAGAGGATAAATAAAAAATAACTTTGTCCCCTTCAGGCGAAATCAAGCAACTTTTGGAATGCTGCTTTCCCCATTCCCTTCAAGGAGTTACATCCTGAGCATTAGCACTGCCAGGCACAGTGTGACGAAGCAGCTGTGCAAGAGTGGGCACAATGAACTACAAGACAGCTCCACTCTAGGAAGATGTTAAGCTCAGCATTATCTGCTCCCATTTAAATTGTGCTGAGAGGACCTGATGACTAAGACTGCAAAGAGAAAGGAAAAGACTAAATCTAGAAAGCAGAAAACTGCATACCAATAAGAGGTCAGAAAAAAAAAATACACTGTCAACATCACTGCATATGATATGGAACTTGTAGTAAATAATGAAAATACAAAGGCTTTCTGGAATATACTTTTCACTAGTATTCAAAAGTTAATTTAGTCTTTAATGCCATATAGTATTTCATTCAAAAATATACTGCAAAGTCCAAGTTACCTTTCTGCTGTCCTGCAACAGCCACTGAATTCGGTGCTGATAGAGTTCAATCACTCTGACAAAAGGCAGAGCACACATTTAGCTACAGCATTCTCTCACACTGGGTTTCAATGTAACAATTGACCACTTGTCTTCATCATGTCCCTTTTCTCACAGATGCAAAATCTGTGAGAAACAGGCAGTTTAAAATATGCTAAATATGCCCTTACACAATCGGTGGTTGCAGGGCTAATCAATTACATACATCTTTCCCTAAAGCAGAACAACTTCCAACAGTTTAATATCAAAATAGTTAAAACCCGATAAACCAGTAACAACCAGGTAAAACAAAATGCTTCCTGTCCTCTAAAATAGTTTTACTTTAACCAATGGATTTTTAATTCCATGCACATAGTGTCTACAAGTTGGCAAGTAAGCCAACACTTTAAAGAGGAAAATCCATTTTGCTTTTTCGAAACGTAAAAGCTGCTTCTGTTTTATAAAAGCCTGACACAGTGAGGTATGCTGAAATGGTAGCACTCTTTATAAATTGTGAAGAATATTCTATAGCTTATTTAATCTATAAATTAAATTATTTACATTCTCTTGATTTTATACATTTAAAATTCCCTTAGAATACTTTCAACTTCCATGTCATGACTGCATCCATGACTTGAAGCTAATCCAAGTTACATTAAGTATAACCCCCGACTACACAGTGTTACATATGAAAACCTGACCGTGCACTGGCTGCCTTTCTAAAATGAGCAAAATGCTTCACATCAACACCTGGTTGATAAGCATCTTCCTTAAAACAACTCAAACCTCAGTTGTAGCGACATACAATTATCCCTTACTCTAAATCTCAGCAGAAAGGATTTACTGTTGAGATACTCTGAGGTGCACAGAGACAAATTAAGATTTAAGGCAGCGCCTGCAGAAATGGTGATACAGAATCAGTTACACAACAAAACAGTAAAGAAGATGGATACTTACTCAGCAAGTCTGCATTCAAAATCAGTAACAGTGTCCTCTGTAAACACCATCTCTTCACCACTATTTCCTGAATTCCTGGAGCACTATGCATGGTTAACATCAGAGATGCACACAAGTTAAGACTGACTAGAGAAAAGGCAGTGTTGTATTTACAAAGTAATATTGCCCTTATTTACCAGATACTCTAATGTTAACTGCAAAGATTCCAAACTGTAATTTCTTATCCATTCTTCTGTTGTTTGCACCTTTTGAGACTGTGTTTTCTTCATTTGTCCTCTCTACAGATCAAGTGAGAAAAAATTACATGCGGTATGAGAAATTAAATGTGCCATTTAAATGTGACAAAAATATAAGTTCTCAGGAGAGTTTCTGCTATGCAGTGCATGTCCAAAAACATAAGTTTATGTGCTGGAATAATCTTTTGAATGTGTGATACAAAATTGTGAAAAGAAGTTTTCACAATACCCCTAGACTGTGAGCTAAAGGAAGGGAAAAGAGCATAGTTTAGAACAGACAGGAATGAAGACAAGAAATAGGAGAGTTCAAGAAAAGAATTAAAATAAATACCCCAGTTATTTACCAGAGAGGAATAAAAATAAGCATCTCCCAAATACAATTCAGAGTTTGAGCTGATATATATTGGCTTCTGCCTTCTGGAGGAAAAAAGCAGTATCAACAGTTGATCTCATTTACTGTTTTGCCCAATTTGTTCTCAGATTCATCTCTGCAGAGATGCAGAACATGCAGTTTCATTACATGAGTGATCACATCTATCAAACTGTCTGTGTATACATGCAAATGTATGTAAGGAAGCATATTAGTTGTCTATCAGTTTATTTATTCCCCACTGTGAATTTCTATATGCTGTACTAGTTGCTCCATTTTGTAGGAAAACTCGCCTACCAGCACATCTTGTGTCTTGCTGCTATGTGCTCCCAGCAATCCATTATCTGGTCCTAGCTGAGGCACAGCAGAATCTTGCTGTGGTGGATCATCACCCTGTCGATGGAATTTTGTCAACCTACAAGACAATTATTTTACGAGAACAATTCATTACCTGTAATATTCCTGTGTTGTCATAAAGTAATTTCAAGGTTTTTCTGCAGGAATTGTTCTATACTTTGACAGTTGTTTAAGCATTAATTTAATATATGATGTTTTGAAGAGATATAGTATATACTTTATATGAATTATATTTTCTATCTACATTTGAAGTCTCAACTAGATTTTGTAAGTTTCCTCACCCAATTTTTTCCAAATACTGATCATTGTCCAACAACCATGCCATTTTCCTGGTGTGTTTATCCAGTACATGAATAGACTTAGCCTTGTTAAAAATAAAAAGACATTAGAGCAAAAAAGTTAAAATCCTCAGGAATAAACACTATTAGAAAGGTATTAATATTGTCAGCAACTTAAATGATAATTTATATTGTATGTGGGACAACAGCAAACTAAAAAATAAAGAGAAGTTACAATTATCCATGTACAGAAAACATATTTAGGAACTATTTTGCAGGAGCTGTTCGTTAAGGGATTTTATACAGTTAATTATATGTGTGCACAGCTGCTGGGAGACCGGCTACAGAGCTCAACCAGAAAAGAGATTTACCACAGCAAACCCCGGAGCGGCGGCGGGAGCTGAGCCAGCCGGGCTGGCAGCGGGTGGGCGAACTGCCCTCGGCTTTAGGCGCGGTACAGTCAAGCAAGAAACATTAAATCCCGGTTTTCCCTTGGGTGGGCTCCACCGCCTCCCCCCGGCCCGGGCCACCCGGGCCCTTCGGCACGCAGCGGGTGTCAGCGCAGCCCTTCCCGTCCCCGAGACCCTCCTCACCTCACGGGGGAAAAGCCCCGAGCTCCCGACCCCGCGCTGTCCCGTGCCCGAGGCTCACCTCACCCCACCGGGGAGAGACCCCCTCGGCTCCTCCGACCCCGCGCCGCTCGGTCCCGTCCGCTGAGACTCACCTGACGGGGGAAAGGCTCTCCCGTGCCCCGCTCTCCCTCCCTGGGCACCGCGCCAGTGACAGCGTCTCCCCAAAGGCCCTCAGCACCTCCCGACCCTTCCCTCGTGCGGGACCGGGTGCGGCGGGACCCAGCCTGATCCCCGCCCGCTGTTGCGGCGTTGCCGGTGGAGACGGGGCCGGCCCCGGCGCGCCGCTTCCCACCGCCTGAGGGCGCCGCTGGGCGGGAGGCGAGGGGACCCCTGAGGGGGGACACACCTGGGGGGGCACACCTGAGGGGGGATACACCTGAGGGGGGTCGGTTCCAGTCAGTGCAGCCGGAGCCAGTCGCTTTAGTAGACAATTTATTTTGATAAACTTGCTCAATAACAAAAATACAAGTGAAGAAAATTATGTTCATTTTATACAATATTAACATTTGTTTGGAAATCATTAATTGAAAAAATGCTCTAACCAATAGAAAACAACCCTCAGTAAAGGCCGGCGGGCTCAGGCGGTGGGCCCAGCTTCAGGCCCAGGCAGGACAGCCCACATGCAGACACCATTTCCTTCATTATTTTCATCCTTCACAAAGGTTTTAAAGGACAGCTTTCATTTTCCCGTGTGTGTGTGTGTGTGTGTGTGTTGGGGCAAACAGGAACCTACAGTCGTGTTCTGGAGTGGTTAAACAGCGTCTCGGAAACACAGGGACGGCAGGAGGGCCCGGCTCTGGCGGCATCACCTGAGCCAGAGGCCGGGCTGGGAGTGTGGCACACTGACTGTGCTTTGGGACACTGGCATCGCTCTCCAGCTGGATTAACAGCAGAAAAACCACGTTAAATGGTTAGGCTGGTGTGTTCTGCGAAGCACACCCTCCCCAGGTCTGAGCCAAACAGCTTCCAGGCGATTATTTCAACGGAGCTCCATGGTAATATTTATACAGACAAATTTACTAGTTTTTCCTTCTGAAAGTACTGTCAGTTTCCAGTCTTACATTTTGTTAGCCAAAGAAATGACAAAGTGTGCACAAATTACATTATGATGGGTCATCAAACCTTTGGGAGGATTTAGAAGCAAAAAAATAAATGGAATTCTCTAGTGATGTATGAAATGAGCTGTCCTTCAAAAAAATTAAAAAATAATGGCTGGCAGAATCAGAAAGGTTTATGTAAACACTCAACACAAATATGGGATTACCTTTGGAGAAGATTCATATGGAAACATTTGTTTTTCATGACTTGAAAAAGTCTACAGATGTTTAGGCATGTTCAATACGAACTTCCTGTAGCTCAAAACAAAACCTTGTGCAAATAAAACCTATAAATAGTCTTCAGCAGATTTTACAGTGATGCTCTTAGGTATGAAAAGAATGCACACAACTTTAAAACAAAAGTAACAGACATAAGTTTGACAAATGATTGCACCATAAAACAGTGTTTTATATACAGTTTACAAGATATGATTTTCTGCTATAAATTAATACTGTACTATATAGTACTTAGTGACTTTATTAAAAGCAACTGTTGACAGCTGTCTCTTCAATTACTGGGTTGGGTTTTTTTAAATGCATTTGGCTGCATCTATTTCTGGACTCGAAATGCTCAAATATTTAATAAATCTATTTGTTAAACCTTTGCTAACATTTAATAATTCACAGCAATAGCACTGGCAGATCAGATCAATTTCCAGTCAGCCAACCACAGTCTGGGTATGCTCCAAGATAACTGGTGCTATTTTTTGTTGTTGTTTTTTTTAAAAATTATTATTATGATCCATTTAATCAAAGCCTAAATCCACATGATGTTACAATAACTGAAATAAGTAAGTTGGAGGGGTGGGAAGGGAAAGAAATCTTAGCAGCTGAGAAACTCTCCCCACCCCCCAGCTGTGTTCCAGTTACAAAAATCTTGAACTATTTACAAGTGTAACATTTCTGAAAATGTAATTTATAATCCAAGTTTTAGTGAATACTTTATGTTAGGACACAGTAGTGATAACACCAAAATTTTGACACATATCAAGCAGCTGAACCCTGCCTTTTACCTCCACCACTATCACTAGGGGCCTCTAGTCTAGGGCCTCAGATTGCCCATGCAGATGAAGGTTTAAATCAGGAACCAAATTATATTTAGACCATGATTTCCAAGTAAGTGCTTGGCTGTATTTATAGATTAGTATACTTTGGAAAAATTAAGTGATCCATAAACACTCCATTCTACCTGTGAATGAGCTGACTGGGAAAAAAAATTACTTAGAAACCATTCCAGTGGCAAGTTTGGTCAAAAATTTCAAAAGAAAATATACATCAACAAATAACCTTTTTGTATTAAAATACCTTGGGAAGGGGAGAAGGAAGAGATGGAGAAAGGCAGGGACCCACTGTGGTCTGAATGGCACAGAGTTTAACATAATTGTGCAAACTGTGTTATTTTTAAACACTCCAGTTTATCTGGTGATTATTTTGGAAACTGCTGGTTTTATTTTAATATAGATCTCATCCTAAAATGACTGTCTATTCATTAATGCAGTTCCTCCAGTAAACTCAATGAAATGGTGCCCAAAACAGACAATTTTTTTGTTTTCAGAATGAATCTCAGGTAAACTATGTATTAACTGGAAAACAAATACTGATAGTGCAAGCAGCTTCCCTGGAACACCAACCTAGTAGTGAATTAAGATGTCTCTGGCATCAATGGTTTATCTTTGTATTGAAAAATAAAAATTATTTTAGTGAGGAATATGTACTTCAAATTTGGGTGGTCATTAAATCTATGTTTAAAATAACAACTTTAGTAAACAAGGCATATACTTTTAACAATTATATTGCTCGTTGTATTTTTTTGGCAAAGATGAATTAATACTCAGCTGAAAATAAGTTCATCCACCTTCGCAGAGGAATAGTGTTTGCATTACTTTAAACATTGCATTTTGTATGTGCTAGAGAAATGCTTACCTATGGTAAAATGCTGTGCTTGAACATGTATGAATGGTAATGTAACAAAGCAGTAGAAAAAGAGATTTTTCTGTACAACAGTTGCTAATAATTTAAATAGTGTCAGTTTCCCAAAATTAGGATTTTAAGGTATGACATGATCTCACCTTCAACCCTCATATACAAATAAATTACCATAAAAAGAATTTTAGCTTAACTTAAAATTGCACCTAGAAAGGCATGGGATTGTTTGTACCTATTACAAAAAACTGTTAAAATCAAGGGCTGCTACAAAGAATGAGGTAAACTGAAGACTCTCAGCTATGTGGCCTTCAGAAAAATGGCTTTTCTCTATTGAGTTCTAGTTTTGCACACCACAGTGTTTTGCTAGCAAAGCATTCTGAGTTCTTTTCCAGGAACCATTTGTGTGTATATACATATATATACATATGTGTATATACACACTCACATACATACACACACACTGTATACTGCATCAGCAAAATATATATATATTTATATATATATTTATATAAATATAAGGACGAAATCCCCCTCTAAAGCGTTCCTTAGTGTTTCCTAGAGCTTATGGGGGAGCAGGGCATGTATGTCTTTTGCTGTTACATACATTGAGAGAACATGTTTTGATCTATTGGCTTCTTGGTGTAGTAATGCAAGATTGATCCACATTGGTGCCAAAGGCTTTGCTCATCAGAAGGAAGATGTAAAACACTAATCTCCTAAACAGCGAGGCCAGCCTCACTTGAATTCCTCTGCAACCCTCTGGTTCACCACAAAGTTCATAAATACTTTGACTTCCAAATTGTTAGACGTTAAAAACAGGAACAGTCCAGTAACATGGGATGTTATGCTTCTCAGTGTAAAGCATTCTTCACTAGTTCCTATCACAGTGCAGACCTGACTGCATTGAAGTATGCTCAGGAGATTAGTCAATGTGGTCTGTATTTGGTTATGGGAAAGGCTCTCCTTTTTTTCATCCAAAGTGCATAGTGAGAACAAGTCAAAGCATTCCTCTTTTCAGTCAGTGTTTGATAGTCCGATTTAGGCATTCTCCTGAGAATGCAATTCTGATGTCTTGTTCTTTTCCAATATAAAGTCCTGCAGTCCAGACATTCATCAGCCAGGTAAACAAACTTTGCCAGCAAATAGAAGTCCCACTATTGTAAAGAAAATGGATAAGACAAACAGTACATACGAAGACCCAACCACTGTGTTATTGGGTAATTTATATGGTTGACCTCCAACTTCATTGATGTAAAATCCTATTGGAAATATTAGGGCTGCCATACAGAATAGAATCACTGCAAAGAAAAGAGAAAAGAAAAAAACAGTCACTGTTGTGTTAAAGTGAAAATATTTACCTGTTCACAGAGCCCTCCAGAAAAACAAGCAAAATATCCTGATTGAACTGAAGAGCTAAGATCAGAACTATCTGAGCTGATAACTTGCTTGAAATTACTGAGTAGGCTTTATGATGCTTTCAAAACATCCCTCATCTACTCCCAAAAAAGACTAAAATTTTGACTGTAATTTCAGTTCTGCTCACTAGATCATGAACTTCTTCACAGAATAAAAAATTGGTAGATACACTTCTATCACCATCTCAGAGTTCAGTCATTCCTTCTCCAGTTATTTTAGAGTAATTTTGCCCAGTCAAGATAAAGTAACATTCAACATTGAAGAAACTTTTTCTATTATCAGTTGTCTTTTTCCAACTGTAGTTGCCCTTTCTCATTCTTCACACATTCTTTTCTGTAAAAGCTTTGCTAAAAATAGAAAATACTCAAGATTGTCATTACAATTTCTTTTGAGATTAAAAGATACCAGTTTCCGAATGTTATATGAATATTTCCTTAGATAATGAAATATCCTTAGAATTTCCCATTGCAATACAATGAAATGAAAGTTTTCTGATTCAGTATAATTCAAACTTCTTAGTGAAAAACTAAATTCAGACTCTGTGAACAAAGAGATCAAGCAATAAGGGTTTTTATTTCACTTCAAACTTATGTATATGTTTTGTTCTTGCAACTGACTCTGTGTGAACATACAAGAAATCCAGAATTCCTGTTAAAGAATTGCATTATGGATTTCACAGTACCAATAGTGGCCAAGATTCCCTACAGCACATTTCAATACCCTGATCAAATCCAGGAGAGAACATCCAGTGCTGTTTCCTGGACAACAACTTCAGTGTTTCTGTAGCACACCCATGGGAAAGTAACCCTGTTTAGTTTGGATGTAGCTGTACAGGACTCTACTGTCAACCATGGGAATGAATGACTTCTAAATATGGCTCCTCTGCAAAGCAATACATTCTCCACAATAAAAAGGAATTAATTATTATAATTATAATTTCAATTAACTTTTGAATTGGTTTGATTGTATATGCAAGCATATACAATTGGTTTTTTTTAATCAGGATAAAACAGAATGTTATCTGATTCTACCAGTTCTGTCAAGTATTAGTGCTTTATTTCTATTTTATCACTGTGCTTTAGTGCTGTTTCAGACATTATTTACCGTGAATGGAACATGGCACCACAGTACCTACAATTCAACCAAATCTAATTAGATCTGGGGGGAGAGAGGAGCTGAACCTGCTCTGTTCTCTCACCAACCCCAGAAATCCACACACCATCATCTTCTAACATGAAGCACAGCTCACACTGAAGCCTCTCCTACTCCTCAAACTCTGCCTATAACCTGGCCACATACAAAAAAGAAAATTCAAGCCAAGTTACAATGCTCCTGCCTGAACAAAGTGCATCATATGCTGACTTCTT